ACGTTGAGTTGATGTTGTGGTCTAACGTTACCACACAACTTTATCCAAAGGAGACACTTTTCTCGGTTGAGATGTGGTTTAAAGTGTAAAAAATACACCTGGTCGCCCAGCCTCTCAGGATACCTTGTGTCAGAGTTGCATGTACCCCATGCACACCGTTTGACCATTTTTAAACTTCAAATCTCAGAAAAAGTTCATAAAACTAAATAAAACTGACTTTCTGTAATGCATTTCAATGGACGTCCAGGCAGAGAATGTCCAAGTGTAATGGCTATACGCACTGTGATTGGCTCATCGTGTTTGAGGGCGGGGCTTAGCCATTGGTCAGTTATCTTTAAATCTTTTAAATCTTTAAATCACAGGAAGTCTTTATTGTTATTTCAGGGAGCTGGACTCTGGTCGGGTTGAAAGGCCTCTGAAGCAGCATTTTATATGTATCTACTCACTGTTTAAACCTGAAACCTCTCAGCCTTCATAGGTGTTTTACTAACAGGTGTCAAAGTCACCTAGTAGGTCAGATTGGACCCTATGGCGGGCTGGTTCTGGCCCCTGAGCTGTATGTTCGACACCCGTGCTCGAGACCTTGAATATACTAATATCATCCCACTTTCTAAATTAAAACATTTGCTTATTTATGCCAAGAGCAGTATTTTGTCTCTTCAGTATGAGCACCAACATCAGTAGCTGTGGTATCAGCCTTCATTGACCAGAGGCGCTGCTACACACTGTATCACAGCATTAAATAAATGTCATTATTCTGGTGTCAGTGACCTTTCATCAGCCTGGAGGAACCAAGGAGACATTTTGTCCAGCTGACAGCCTCGCTCCTCCTCCTCCTCCCCTGTTTCCATACAGGGAGGTGAGTTTTCATAGTTTTCGCCCCGGCCGACACGTGCTGACTGCCAGCGCCGCATCTGAACGTGTTGATGTTTATCGTGATAATGGGGCAGATTTGATTTCACTTTGATTCTGCGGCCCACAGCGCAGCATATGTAAAACAACAGACAGAAATAGACGTGATTATTCAGGATTTTATGAGCTGACTGAAGACTTAAGGCCAGCGACGCAGAAGAAGACAGAGAGAGGAGCACTGAGCTGGAAGACTCCTCTTCTCCTTCACCACCTCCTCCTCCTCCTCTTAACTTTGTGTTTCTAAAGGCCAATCTCTCTGTTTCCTCCCTCTCTTTTCTCCTCTTCTCTTTGGTTGATTTCATTTCACCCTCCTCTTCACTGCTTCTCCTCTTCTTGCCGTCCCTTTCTCTTCTCTAGCCTCTCTTCCTGTTCTAAAACTTGTTTTAATTTCATTTAATTTCATCCTCCACATCTCCTCTTCCTCTTCCCTATTTCCTCATTGCTGTCTTCTATCAGCTCCTCTTTTTCTTCCACCCCTTAACTTTGTTCTTGAAGACCTTCTTGTCCTTTGTCTTTTATCCTCTTCAATTACCTTTTTATAAATTTCAACCTCTTCATCGCTCCTTCACCTTTTCCAACATCTCTATTTCCCCTCATTCTTGCATTCTTTCGTCTTCTTCTCTAACACTCCTCTCATTCCTGTCCTCTTTCTCCTCCTCCTCTCATTTCCTCTCCTGCTCTCAGTTTGTTGACAAACCTTCAGAGACGATATAAAAAGACAGACAGATGCAGACGCTGTCGTGTTTTCACCTCCACCACTCCTCCTCCTCCTGCTGTCTCCTCATCCCTTTCTCTTCTTCTTTTGTCTCTCTGAAGTGAAGTTTTCTCTCTTGTTCGAGCTGTTGTCTCCTTCGCTGCCGTGAAACAAAACAGGAGCCAAAACAACAGCGAGCACCGAAGCACCTTCAAACCGAACAAATCCCTCCTCAGAACCCAACGACATGAAGAAAGACGTAAAGAAAGAAGAAGTAGACTCGTAGATGCAGACAAACATATGTGTATGTGTGTGTGTGTGTGTGTGTGTGTGTGTGTGTGTATTTTTGACTGGGCGAATGGGAGTTCCTGCTGTGTGGATGTTGCCATGTGATCTTCTGAAAGTTTTGTTGTTTTATTTTGGAGGAGCCGCTTGCCTTCCTCTCTTCCTCCCTGACGCTCCTTCACTCTTGTCTTCTGTTGGAGCGGCACGGTGGAGATGAAAGATGAGAAAACACGACACATGTCTCACAGAAATGTCACCTCGTCCCCTTTGGCTGAGAGCGGCGCAGCTTTCATGCCACAGTCTGAACAAGTGGAGCTAGCTTAGCTAACAAGCTGCGTTACTACAAAGCCGAGGCAGACAACAATAACAGCCGGTCACAGCGCAAGCAGCAACTAAAAACACACAAAACAACAGCTGCTTCCAGACTTTGTAAAGCAGCAGATGAAATGAATAAACACAGGTGCACCAGATGCACACATATTGATTCAAAATGACAACATCATTTGCTAACGTGAACATGACAACTGTACACCCTTTGTCGTTTGTTTCATTTTCTTCCTTGAATCAACACGGAAACAGAGAATTTCCACCAAATCTGCATCCACAGCTTCTTTGAGATCCTTAACATCCTAGATTTGGCAGCTGTTTCCATCAAAGGAGCTCTGCCTGATAAACCCTCTGTACACAAACAGCAGACACACACAGTCAGAAACTATCAGGTGAACATACTGAACCATTTAGCAGCTACTGAGACAGATATTTCTCTCAGGAGTCGGTGGAGACCAAAAACAGACTCACACTCATCACAACGCAATCACCAGAATAAACACTGGCACTGTTTCTGCAAACCATGGATATGTTACATTTGCATGTTAGGGATACACTGAAACTTAATGTTTCAACAATGCTGTGGCTAACGCGATTAGCTTTAGGCACAAAAACACTTGGTTATGGTTTGGAAAATCTCATGTTTTGACTTAAAGTAACGGGTTTGTGGTGTACAATCTATGCTTTAAAAGCAACAACGCCTCCGTACAAAACAACTGCTTTTCGTGCCTACAAAAGTCGCTGGAAAAACAGCAATGAATTGCTTAATCACAATTGGTTTTGTTGTTGGTCTCCAGAGCTTCATATGGTGCGATACAGTTCAGTTCAGTATGCTTCCTTTTCCGTTCCCACTGTGAAAAGTTGTGGATGGTACCAACAGAAGCGTTCAATAACGTCCCCATGTTTGGTCCCCCCTCTGATGGGGTACCTAGCACACAGATCTGGTACTAAAAGGTGGAGCTGTGAACACTGCAGTCTGATTGGTCAGTAGAGGACGGTCACTCTGCTCAGGGCTGAGTTGTGTCTGGTTTTGAGGCTCATGTAACCACTGTTCATACTGTGGAGAGTTTTATTAGTAAACTGTAACTATAAAATGAAAGGATGTTTTGCTGCCTCTCACAGCAGCTGGAGTCTGAGAAAAAATAACTTCATTCACTGGGCCGACTGCCGGTGACTTTTAAGGTGGAACGTTTACTTGTAATGTTACTCAATGCATGAGTTGATGACGTGAATCCATCAGCACACCTTAAATTTCACTGTGAACAACTTTGACCATCACTTTAGTTTTTATATGACACACACTTTTAGTAATGACTTTAAAAATATAGATTAATTTGGAGCGGATTATGTGAAGGTCATATATTCTAATCCTCACTTCCTGTGGACTACAGCAACACTAAACCCCTGAGCTTGCCTGAGAAGGACTAAATGCACAAAGCTGCTATTTTTAAATATCCCATGGAGAGAGACTCTCACTGCAGCCTGTTCTATTTTGTTGTGAAAATGTGGGCGTGCAGCCTCGTTCTGTGGACGATAAACCAGGTGCAGACTTCCATCTGTGTCACCGCTGATGAGGAAATACAGCGAGTGCTGGATGGAGCAGTGAGTGACAACAACCCCGCCCACATTTAAGAGGACTGTCTGAACACACCGAGGGTCTAGGTACCATGTCTGAAGGCTTACTGCTGGTTCCAAAGGAACTGAACTGAAAGGGTTTGGTGGAAACGGGGCTTAACAGTTGTCTGGAGTGTGGTTTTGTTGTGTTCAGCTGCTGTGACATGAGAATATTCCTGAGGTGGTACATAAATTATCTTAGTCATAGTAATAGTGATGCATGGATGTCTTCTGTGAGTATTGATCCATTTCTTCGTATTGAAAACAGTTGTTGTTCGCCGTCCAACAGCCATCCATGGTGGCTTGGACTGTCTGTTGACCAATAGGAAGCTGTGTTCCTGACAAGTTGACCAGTCAGAGGCTGTTTGTGTTTCCAACTGTGTGGGCAATGTTTTTTTTTTTGTTTGTTTGTTTTTTTTAAATTTTAATTTTTTAATTAAAAAAAGAAGAATTGTAATTTTTCCTGATGTTTTAGGTTTTTCCAGTAATATATTTTCTGGTATTGAGATGTTTAGGTGTATCGTGTCAAAGTCATAATTCTGGTAACGTGACAACACAACAGTTGTAAGTCTTTGATGTTGGTTTAACTTCAGTGTACCCGACAGACGGATGCCTTTGGTGTTCCTTTGGCGTTTTTAAGTCATGTGTCAGAATGGTCAGATAATCAATATAAAGTGGATGTAAAGTGGGCTTTAATGGCGCTGAAGGAAACACAGTTTTGGGGCGACAGATTAAAGACTTTCATTTAAAAGTAATGAATGAAATTCATCACAGTGAAAAACAAACAGCAGCAGACGCCTTGTTTCTGTCCTCTTATTTAGTGGCTCTAATGAGATCTTTCCTCACAGGTCACAGAACTTCCTCCCAGCTATTTAACTTCAGTGTTTTGGTTTTGTTCTTTTGTAAAGTGAACTGAGTCACTGTTTGTGTTTTGTGTGTTTTAAGGTCTGTTGTTACTGGTCTTGTTTTTAACAGCTTTACTTGTGTGAAGCTTTTGGTGATCTTGTTCTGTGAAAGGTGCTGTGTTAAACACACTTCCTGCAGAGACAGGCAAGAATCTGAATTTTTGACCCAAAATAAATCATCTTTCCTTTTCTCTCCCTCCAGCTGAAGAGTGGTACCTGTGCAGGTTGACTCTGAGCATGCCCAGCCAGGCTGACCTGCAGTGGGCCATGTTTCCCTCGCCTTACCTGGGCGCCGTGGGTCCTGACGCCACGCCCGGTTCTGCAGTGTACCGGCTGTCGGCACGGCAACGAGACGGGACACCTGCACAAGCACAGTACCTCATACTGGATGGTGAGTTTACAGTTTTAATTTATCTTTTATTGTGTGTAAGGAGTATAAGAAGAAGAGTATGCCAAAAGTATGTGGACACCCCTAGATTCCAATGCTGGGAAAACAGTACTGGTATGATGTTGTAAAAGCCCGTTGGTTGTGAAAATTAAAGTTCAAAAAGCATAGAAATTTGTTTCCAGATCCAAATTCCCCTCTCCTCTGATAATAGCAGTAAAAATGTTTTACCTACCACAAGCAAACCTCCTTCTTATTCCAATCATATTTTCCTAAAACCTGTTTGTTCCTGCTCTTATCTCCTGCCTGTATCTGTAATTAGGTCCGCTGCTGCTCCGCCAGGCACTCTGTGACAAACCTGTTTTGTTCAAAGCAGCGATTTATAAATAAAATTTGACTTGTTGAATTTCAATTACCGTCAAGTGAGAGAGGGAGAGAAAAACGCACATAAACGGCATGGAGCTGCGCTGTTAATCGCTCCCTGGGGCAAAGAAAGCTCCCAGATTCGGGAATAATAGGAAAGTCTCTGGAGAGGCAGCGAGTGGGAGGGTGGGCGGATGGGCGCCGGTGGCTGTGGATTTTTTATTTTTTATATTATTCTAGAGAAGAAGAGGAGAAGGAAGGAGGAGGAAGGAGAGATATTTTGAGAGCTAATTTCCAATGCTTTCATATTAAGAGCTCCTGATTCCCTTTGGCGGAATGTGACTACATGTGTACCGACGAATAATCCAATAATTTACATTAAAAATGGTTTTTAATATCATGCCAATATGGAAATATATTCACGCAGTGTGTGTGAAGCCAATTAGTAGCATTAATGTGATTTTACTGACTTTGAGGATCTTAAATTTACAGTGAGTAAAGTGCTTCTTCAAAAAAGTTTGTTGTTCTATAAAAATGATTTAAAAATACTTTAATTTCTAAACACACTTCTGTTGTTCTCTATTATACTGACTTGACACTGAGGAAGAACAAAAAAATATTTTATTTTGGCAAAATGAGGAAGTCAGATCAATGAAAAACGGTTTGTGGAAAAAGTCTACAGCCATGATAGTCCTTTTTACACAGAGATGGTGCCGACGTGATCTCGTCCTCTGCTCGGAGGGTAAGGGGCTCCTGAACCTCGTTGTCTCCCCAATTTGCAGACATTTTCAGCTGCTGCTCTTCCTCTTTGAGTTAGCTGCTAACTGCTAACAGCTGCTTTTAGAATCTTCCGGCAGTGAGTCGCACACATCACATGATGTCAATATGTCCTGTTGGCTGTCCCCTTTACTCAGACGTTGATTTGACTCTGTTACTACCTCCACTGCCGGTTTAAAGACAAGACAACTTTGTCCCCCACTTTCTGCGATTGTACCTTTAATCCCACTCCTCTCTCCTAAACCTAACCAATCCAACCAACGAAGCCAACGAGTACAAGCCAATCAAATGGACAGCAGGGAGGGTTGTTCGTTTGCTGTCCTAGGATTCACAAATTTGCACCCTGGATTTAACATACAAACATGAGACTGATATCATTTTCTTTTCTAACACTCAGAACTTTTAATTTAAATTTTAATTTTCAGACTAAACTAATTGAAAAAAATAATAATATGTAATATAATGCGTAGGTGAGACAATAAAACTGACCTGTAAGAGTCGTCATACTGAAGACACAAACAGGAAGTCTTCCAGCGAGCCTTAGATGAACTCAGGTCAGAAATATCCCTCCTCAAATAGACGGAGCAGGAGGAGATGATTGACAGGTTGGATGCAGCTGCTGGTTCAGATCCCTCTGGTCAACAGCTGAGGATTCTACTCCTCCTTTACTCCATCCTTCTCTCACCTATCCTTCCTTCCTTCCTTGCTCCTTCTCACTTGCTCTACTCATTTTCTCTTTTTCTTTTTCATCCCTCTTCACATCTTCTCTGCATTGCCCTCCTTCTCTCTCTGCAGGGGGGGGCGTGAGTAAAAATGAACCCACACTCTTCCTCTGAGTCTTCAAAGAGTCTTAACCAGCTCACTAACACACACTGAAAGAAACACACAGCACAGCGTGTCAATTTACACTTGTTACATGCAAGGTGTCTTTTCAAAATAAACTTCAATCTTCACAGGAAATGTACAGTTTCTGTTATTACATACAGTCTTTTCAAAAATAAACTTACAACATATGTAAAACAAGTTGTTTTTAGGTTTATTTCTGTAAGTTTTATGCAATAAAAGTGCATGGTTAGGTTTAGAAACAAACATCATGGTTTGTCTTAAAATAAGCCCTCTGCTGTTTTAGACTGTATGAGAATATTTGTACAAGACTCCTCTTTCATTCGCCCTCTGTCTCTTCTGACTGTCCATCTGTCTGTCCAGGTGGGGAGGAGTGCTTTGAGGTGGACCGTCGCTCCGGTGAGATCAGGACCACAGGACGACCTCTGACCCCCAGTAAGGAGTACCTGCTGCGGGTGCAGGCGATGGACAGGAGTGGACGCAAAGGCTCGCCGACTACAGTGGCCATCCTGGCCGGCTACCGACCGCCGCAGTTCACAAACGTCACTTACAGCCTGAACGTACAGGAGAACACAGCTATGGGCCAATCGTGAGTCCCTGCAGCAGTCTGACATACATATTTTGATTTTTTTTCGCATCAAATTAAACAATAGCAAGGTTTCTGTGCGTAACGATTTTTTTTTAAATTCAGATTAAAAACGTATCTGAAAAAAACAGACTCAGTGTGCAAAGGTCTTTAGTCCGGAGCTCTGCGTTTTAATCTGCCCAAACCTGATGTGACACAACAGAAATGCATCAGCCACTGCCATTGGTGGATGTCCTCTTATTCTCTGATGGGCTGATGACAGTCAATGAGACAGTCGATACCGATGTGCGGCTGATAAAACGGTGCATCCCTTCTTTTAAAAGGAACACCTAAAAACACATACTGTGATATTTGCAAAAATGTACTATTTACTGTCGGTGCTTTTGGTAGCGTGTTAGTGTGTTGTGCGGAGCGTGTATTTTACAGTACATTACAGACCATAGAACATGTAGTGTTAGTAGGATACAGACTGTCAGTCGTATTGTATGTCTTCTGCACATTATCTTTTCTTTGCATGTGTCTTGTGGTATATTATTTCAGATAATACTTCCACTACCACTGGTAATGAATATCTATAGAGTATCTAGTATTTGTAGTAACGTGTCGAGTACTCTGAGTGTTTTATTTCTCTGCTCTGTGTGTGTTTGTGAACACAAGTGTCTGTTTGTGTCTTTGTCCTCCTTCATATTTACAGAAACATCATTTACATTCCACTGCCTCAGATACTGTGTGGAAATGGCATCTCTGTGTGTGTGTGTATGTGTGTGTGTGTGTGTGTGTTGACACGGCCAGCTCCTTGGTTTTGCATGTCATGTGAAGCGTGAAAAGATGAGCACTGTAGAGCGAGACAAAAGCAGAAGAAGAAGAAGAAGAAGGAGGAGGAGGAGGAGGAGGGGTGAAGGGGACGAGGAGAGAGCGGGAGAGAGGGACAGAAGAAGGGAGGAGAAGAGGAAGAGGATGGAGGGAGGAGGAGGAGGAGGAGGAGATGAGGATGGATGGGGGGAGGTGGATGAAGAGGACCCAGATGTATGAGTGTGGCCTCAGGCTGAGAATTTGAAAGTGTGGCAAATTCAAATATTTATTAAAAGCGAGGTCTGGATAAACATGAAGGGGTGCGTGTGTGTTAGTGTGTGTGTGTGTGTGTGTGAGAGAGAGAGAGAGAGAGAGAGAGAGAGAGTCCCTCAGGGCTGCTGGCGTAAAGCACATTGTATTAATATCCAAGTATCCATGCCACCCTGTGAGCAGTGTGCGTGGGTGTCTGTGTGTGTGTGTGTCTCTGCCGCCATTGTGTCCCTTTCATGTGTGTTTATGTCCTTGTGTGTGTCTCACTGTGTGTGTGTGTTTTAGTGTAATTGATTACCCAGGTTGTGTGTTGCTCTCTGACTGCACAATAATCCATGAAGGCTGCAGACTTCAGACGTGGCGCTGGAGCTCGACCAGCGCGTCACAGCTCTCCTTCACTTTATAAGTCTGTTTGGAAATGGGGGTGTAGAGCGGCGTTGTGCTGACCTGCGGTCTGATCTCAGGCCTGTCTCAGTCTGTGTTCTCGTCCTCTTGTGGACTTGTGAAACATCATGTCATGGCCCAAGTGTTGCTCTGATTCTGCAAGTCCACGTTTAGCTAAGAATGGTCAAAAGGACCAGAAGCTCAGACCAGACTCTGTTGAAACTGATGTGTGTGGTGGAACTTGAGGTATCCCATCATACAGCTGGCAGTGATGGTGAAGGAGAACCACACTAGGGGCAAAATAATATCACGGTATTTCAGGGTATTATTGCAATATTCTTGATCCATCCGTTCATTCATTTTCATCCACTTAACCGGGGCATGGGGGCAGCAGGCCAAGCAAAGCACTCCAGACGTCCCTCTCCCCAGCAACACTTTCCAGCTCCTCCTGGGGGACCCCAAAGTGTTCCCAGGCCAGATGAGATATGTAATCCCTCTTCTGGGTCTGCCCCGGGGCCTCCTACCAGTGGGACATGCCGGGAACACCTCCAGCGACCTCCAGGAGCAGCGGCTCTACTCCGAGCTCCCTCCGGATGTCCGAGCTCCTCCCCCTATCTCTAAGGCTGAGCCCAGACACCCCACGGAGGAAACTCATTTCCACTGCTTGTATTCGCGATGTCATTCTTTCAGTCACTACCCAGAGCTCATGACCATAGGTGAGGGTTGGGACGTAGATGAACCAGTAAATTGAAAGCTTTGCTTTCTGACTCAGCTCCTTCTTCACCACGATGGTCCAGCGCAGCCCCTGCTTCACTGCAGACGCGCATCAAACCACAGATCCATCCCATGCTCCATTCTACCCTCACTCGTGAACAAGACCCTGAGATACTTGAACTCCCTCGCTTGAGACAGTAACTCTCCCCCAACCCATGGGCTCCATCACACCGTGACCTCCAGCATACACTGGAGTGTTTTGCAGCCGAGTGTGAAACAGTTGGGATGAGAGTCAGCACCTCCAAGTCTGAGGCCATGAACCTCTGTGGGAAACTGGTGCTTTGCCCTCTCCGGATTGGAGGAGAGTTACTGCCTCAAGTGAGAGAGTTCAATATTCTTGATAACACCACAAAATAATCTAATTTCAGAACATACAATTACAACAAAGTAAGTGTTATAATTGGAGTTACTGCCCCAAGTGAAGGAGTTAAAGTATCTCTGGGTCTTGTTCACGAGTGAGGGTAGAATGGAGCATGAGATGGATCGGCGCAGCATCTGCAGCGATGCAGGCACTGTGCCAGAACGTCATGGTGAAGAGGGAGCTGAGCTGGAAGGCAAAGGTCTTGATTTACTGGTCCATCTACGTCCAAACCCTCACCTATGGTCATGAGCTCTGGGTAGTGACTGAAAGAATGAGATCACGGCTGCAAAAAATAAGTTGGGTGGCTCAGCCTTAGAGATGGGGGGAGGAGGTCGGAGTAGAGCCGCTGCCCCTTTGCGTTCAAAGGGGCCAGTGGAGGTGGTTCAGGCTTCTGATCAGGATCCTCCTGGGCGCCTCCTGTTGGAGGTGTTCCGTGCACATCCCACTGGTAGGAGGCCCCGGGGCAGACCCAGAACACACTGGAGGGATTATATATCTCATCTGGCCTGGGAACGCCTCAGGGTCCCTGAAAAGCATCGCAGGAGAGAGGGACGTCTGGAGTACTTTGCTGAGCCTGCTGCCCTCGCGACCTGGCTTTGAATAAGCGGTTGAAAATGGATACATGGTGAACGTAACAGTTGCTTTTAAATATTTTATAAACTAAAAATGATCTCTCAGTTCTTTAGTTTGCAAACACCAATAGTAACTCACAGTCAGATTCTGTAAAAAATATAAATAATAGGCCACAGCAAAATAAAATTAGCCACAAATTGCAAATCTAAACAGCTGCCAAATTCAACAAAAATATCCTGATATACCCGTTCTTCTCTTTTGGTAAAATACAAAAAGATTGAGTTGTTCTCAGCCTGGATCAATAAGAGCAACCAAAGCTCTTTTGTTTTTATCACAACCTTGTAAACTGCAGTGTAATTACACTCTTTATTGTCACTGCTGTCTGACTCCATCCTCTCTGTGTCCATGCAGCGTGTCACTGGTTCAGGCCATGTCCTTCCAGAAGAAGAGTCTGTCCTACATGCTGCTGGTGAATCCTGGGAATCTGTTCAGCATCAACCAGGAGAGCGGAGCGCTCAGCCTCACCAGGACCGTCGACTACGAGAGTGGACACAACCTGCACACCCTGCAGGTCCGCGCCTCCGAGCCCGACACGGGCCTCAGCAGCGTGGCAGAGGTACACTCACAAACACACATGGGTAATATATGTATGTGCAACATTTCTTTAGCTGCTGCAGAAAATGTTTGGACAGCTTTCATCACCTTTGCTGACTGGTGGGGAGTTGCAGGCGTTTTAAGCGCTGGTGTCTTAATGTGACGGGCATCACAGTGTGTATCAGTGTCAAACCACCTGGGTCAGGAGGGTCAGCACAGTGTTGTGAGTGTTATCATGGCACCTCCTCCTCTGATACACAGCACAAATCCACAGTAATAGCTGAACGACTCATCACACTGGCATAGGAAGAAGACGCTGACCCCCTGGACTGTTGAACACGCCGCTCTCTGATGAAAGCTCATTAATTTTAAATGAGGGAAAGTGCAGCAGCTGAATCAGATGCTGTGATGCAACTGTTTCATTTTACTGTTTACTCTGCTTGTTGTGTTTATTATGCATGCGTTAAACTAAACACACATACACACGAACACACACACATACACACACAGCGCCCTGTGAAGCTCTTGTGATGGAAACTCAGCAGATCAAAGCTGCGTTCAAACCCTCAATGAACACATCTGATCAGTTTGTGATCAGCAGTTTGAGTTTGTTACAGAGTTTGCAACATTGTGGGTGCAGACACACACACACACACACACACACACACACCCACACACACACACACACACACACCCACACACCCACACACCCACACACACGCAGTAAACATAGTGTTAAGTGCGGAAAACTGGCTGCTAAGTCTTGACTCCCATCCTCACAGTGAGCTCCAAAGACTTTATACAGCAGATAGCTACATCTGTTCACATTAACACACACTCACACATGCTCATACACACACTCACACACACACACACCCACGTTATTACCTGCTCTCAGCGTCCAGATGGTTAGACAGACAGAGAATAGCTGCTAAACTACCAGCATCTCCCAAAGGCCTGTGCTGCTCTATAAGCTTGGCTGGCTAATTCACTCTAAAGGCCCTGCGTGTATGTGTGTGTGTGTGTGTGTGTGTGTGTGTGTGTGTGTACGCCAGGTGTGTAGAAAGCAGCCTCTTCAGCAGTGCTAACGTCACATCGTACTGAAGCATCTGCAGTTTCTGTTGCCTTCAGCTTTTACAGACATTTAAAAGCTCGTCACAGCTTCGTCCTTCCCTCACATCACTCCTCTCCTCCAGTCGCCTTCTGACAGCTACAGAGCTGCAAATTAGTCACTTTTTTGCCCCAACGTGGCATCAAAAATGGAAAAATATAATCTCCCAGTCGCAGTTAGATGAATTCTGTCATTTTCACTTTAAAATCATTTGAGGGTAATTATAACTCTGTCACTTTTGACAGATAAAATAATTGCGCTGCGGCACCGTTACAGAATCAGACAGATTGTTAAAAACAGTTGAGCACCGACAGCCAGTGAGCAGACCGCTCAGGTTTACAGCTGCAGCAGGAGATGAGAGGAAAGAAGCATCAAACCCAACTTAACTTCCACTTACTAACTTTTCTTGAGCTGTTAGCCATATCATACTGAAAACTTCAAAACAATGTAGAAGTAGTTTGACGGATTCATTTCTCACATCACCAAGAGAAAATGGTGTTGTTCAATTCTGCCACAAACAGATATATTTGCATGTTTCGTATGTATCACATCAACGTCTCTAAAGTGACGTAGTATATGAGCTGACGTTATCATCTGGAGGTGGGGTTGAGGGTGGACTGTGTGACCTTGGTGAGCCACCTGCCAAGCTGCAGACCACTGTTTGAGACCAACAAGCAACAAAACCATTTTTTTAGCCTCCTTTTGAGGCACTAATTTCCCTTTTTGACAGTCATGGTTTGGTTTGGTCTGGTTTGGTTTGGGCCATCAGCCCAGCTTGGCAGGATTTGCATTTCCAGTACAACTTGTCTTGAGTGATGCTGTTTAAAAGCAGCAGCTGATCTACAGCTGAAGTCCCCTGTTATTTTTGCTGCATGTGTTTTTCCACAGCAGGGCAGGTAGAAGAAGTTCACCTGTTGGAGGTGAGCTGTTTGCAGAGGTGCAGGAAGAGCCTGTTGTCTGCAGCTCTTCATCAACATCTAACTGTGGCTGTTTCTGCTTTCACTCTTCCTCCCTGCTGTATTATTAGACTTGTCTTTATTGGAGAAAAGCTGTTGACAAAGTTCTGCTAATTCTGTAATAAACATATTTCATTTCCTTTTGATTCTTCACAATAAAAGTCCCCTGTTATTTTGTTATGTAAAAACTTTTATTGTGAAGCAGCAAAATAAGGAAATGTTGAGTTTTCGAGCAGCAACTTCTAATACGGATGATAGTGAACATGAAACAGTAAAATAAAGCAGATATCTAAAGTAACAACAGGACGCAGGAGCCACAGAGATTCAGTTAGAAGCTACAGACGTACTGAGAGCTGAACACACAGAGACTTTCAAAAGCATCTTTCTCTCTGGTCCCTGCAGACAGAAGGGAGGAGAGTCTCGCAACACACACGGCTTTTTTCAGAAGGGGGTTGGCTGCGGTCAGCGAGACGTCACTGCTCCCCGCTTGAGGGTGGACCTGCTTTTGGACCTACTCCGGAGAGAGTCCATCTCCGGCACAGCGTGTCTAAACTGACAGTGGAAACAAAATGACTTCACTTAGCACAACCAAGTGTGACAATGGAAAAAGAGTGTTTTAAGTGACCTGTTGCTGTTTTTCCAGCAGGGACAGTGTCACAGAGAGCAGCTGTTTGTTAACTGAGACATCGCTGTTTTTCCCGATGGGATTGTGCCAAACTTCTCCACCATTTTAAGCCAAAACATGATCTTTTTCCAAATCAAAACCAAGTGGTTCATGTGCTTAAACATAATCACAAACATAAGTTTCACCCTATCTGCTCCATAATAATGTACAAACGTTACATAATCATGGTTTGCAGAAATGGTTGCAGAATTGCAGAGGATGTTGTGAATAGAGTCATACTCACATTTGTGCTGTTTGTGATTTCAACAATTAATACTTGAAGTCTGAGCTCAAGTTTGTCCGTCAGAGATCACGACACTGACTGTTTAAACTGACAGGAGGAGGACATTTCACATTAAACCAAAAAAATGATCATAAATGACATGAAATGAATTACATAACAAAAAAACAAAACAGGGACTGACTACTTGAATATAATTCATATTGTGAGGTTATGATGGTCTTAAACACAGCACGAAGCTTAATATATTCTTTGTCCTTAAAGAGAAAACATTCATATGAACCTGTTGGGTCTGAAGTGAGAATAATGAAACAGTGTTCCTCCTGCCGTCAGTCGAATCCTCTAAATATTCAGTCCATGTTTGCAGAAGCAGCCGTGCATCTAAATCTCCTCAGCATGCCCCTCCGCTGCCCCGCTGTTATTACTGAACAGGTGGTGAGTCGAAGGTTCATGGCTGCAGAGGAAATCTGTGCTCAGGTGGTCGGGTCGGCAGCCTCACCAGTTAAATCAGGCTTTATGGGAATGGAAAATAGCGTTTTTGGTTTGAGCTCCAGTGGCTCGGGATAGTGGGTGAACTGGACGGGAGCGGGGGAAAGGCGACGGTGGCAAGGCTCAGGATTTAGGTGACAGAGGAGGTTTAAAGGAGAGAAAGGAATAAGAAGGAAATGGGTTTCTCCCCTCGAGCAGGAGACATTTGTCTTCATCAGGTTTGCATGAGCTGTTTTGGCAAACAGTGACATGGAGGCACTAAAGCCGAAGTCTCTCCATCTAATACAACACCGAAACTTTGGAGAAGCAACGAGCGGTGATTGCTGAGATTTTACTGTCACATTATCAGGGTCATTATCAGATCTGACAGACTCAACACTGTTTACTCTGCTGTGTTATGAAGACAAACAGGAGCAGTGCAAGGTGGGGGTTGAGACCCTCCAGGGGTCCCCAAGATCAGAGAGGAGACAACTTTTCTTTTCTGTTTTTATTTTGTATAAAGCTGAATATAATGAAGTGCTGGTCAGATTGTTTAATACGTCTGAAACCTCCTTCCTGAAGGCAGCATTTTTTAAATTTGTTTTGCTCAATGACGCTCACTGGACACAAACCTCATAATAAACTTTGAGCGTATTGTATCCTCACCTCCACTTGGCTCCCGACCATAGGCAACACTTGTGTGAAGTTTTGATGACATGTTAAGCATGCGACCTACCCCTGGGAGATTTAAAGAGCAGATGGTAGCAGTTAGCAGCTAACTCAAAGAAGACAAACAGCAGCTGAAAAAATGTCCTCAAATTGGGAAAACAATGAGGTCTAGGAGCTCCTTACCCTTCGAGCAGAGTATGAGATCAGCCTCCATATAACAGAGACGATAAATTATTGTTACTGCCATGTTAATGCCGTTGTTACTGTGTATAAAGCGCTGCCTTGGTTTGACACCGTTGTGTTACATGTCACGCCCGCCACGCCTCTGTTGCTGCTGTTGTTTGGTGCTGTGTAAAAATGCAAAAGAGGCATAATGAAGGGACTTCGCATTCTCAGAGAGAGAGTGCGGAGAGTGTGAGAGAGGAGAGACACTGGTAGACGTCATGTAACGCAACTTGACCCTGTATCGACATACGTGGTGTCGTCTAAGTTAATATCTTGCGTGAAAATATATCGATATATCGTACATAACTGAGGGTGTTTTTGACCTGCAGATCACCAGAGTAATGCTCACTGTGATGAAATGACTTGAGACCACTCACCTGTCCACACCTGCCAGGTCACATGATCACAGCAGGTTATAAACAGGATTAAATCAACACGAGGACGTTAATATGAAAATAGTAACAGTGAGACTCACTCTGTAGGTGGTCGTCCACATCACAGATGAAAATGACTGCACGCCAGAGTTCCTCCACTCCATCTACACCAGAGACAACGTACCTGAGAGTGTCGCACCTGGAACCTCCCTGCTTCAAGGTAAAACACACACACACACACACACACACACACACACACACAGAGGCTGGTAATCTATCTGCCCTCTGTGAGTGAACGCAACACCAGCACATTACACCTTTGGGTATACTGTACAGTGTGTGTGTGTGTGTGTGTGTCACAGCCATCTGTTGTAGCTGCTGGTGGCTGGTTGAGATCAAACAGTCCGACTTCAGCGAGGCTTTGCTCTTATTAGGCTGACAGCCAGCGACACACTCACACACACACACACACACACACACACACACACATTCATACATACATTCAACAGTGTACAGACTAATGTATTTATAAAATCCCTCTCCTCTTCCTCTTCTTCTCTCTCTTCATCTGTCCTCCCTCCCCCTCCTCCTCTCCTTGTTTCCTTGTTCTCTTCTCCTTCTCTCCTACCCTCTGTATATCTTCCTCCTTTTCTCCTCCTCCCCTTCACATCATGTCCTCACCTTTCTTCTCTCTCCTTCTCTCCTTTTTTTCTTGTCTCTTCTTCTCCCCCACTCTTCCCATTCTCATCTAATGTTTCCTCCACTGTTTGTTTATCCTCTCCTCATCCTCATCTCATCTCTCCTTCTCCTCTTCCTCTCTTCCTCTTCCTCCTTTCGTTGTCTCCTCTCTTCCTCCATCACCCTCTTCTCCTCTTCCTTCTCTCCCCCTCTCTCATCCTCATCTAATCTTGCTTCTTCTCCTCCTCTTCCCCATATTATCCTTTTCCTTTCCCTATCTCATCTCTTCCTCTCTTCTCCTCTTCCTCCTCTACCTGTCATTCTCCTCCCCACCCCCATCATGCCTCTCTTCCTCCTCTTCTTCTCCTCATCCTCCTCTTCTCATCCACCTCTTTCCTCCTCCTTTCCTCCTCATCCTCATCTCGTCTCACCTCTTGTCCTCCTCTTCTTCTCCTCTTCCACCTCTACATTTCCTTGTCTCTTCTCTCTCCTCCCCATCCTCCTCTTTTCATCCTCCTTTCCCCCTCATCCTCATCCTCATCTCCCCTCTCTTCCTACTCCTCTCTCCTCCCCCACCTCTTCTTGTCTCTCATTCTTCCTTTCCTCCTTCTCTAATCATTCTTCAATTCTCTTTCTTGTTTCTCTCCTCCTCATCCTTCTCTTATCCTCCCTCATTCTCATCTCATCTCGCCTCTCTTCCTCTTTGTCTCCTCCTCCTCCCTCTTCTCCTCATCCTCCTCTACCTTTTCTTGTCTCTTTGTTTCCTTCTCCGTATCAGATTCTTTTCCTCTCTTTTCCTCCTCATCCTCATCTCATCTCTCCTTTCTTCCTCCTCTTCTTTTCCTCTTTTCCCTACATATTCTTTATCCCTCCTCCTCTTCCTCTTCAGTTCTGGCCCGGGACTGCGACTCAGGTGTGAATTCTGAGCTCTCTTACTTTGTTCACGGCGGCGACTTTGACATCACATCAGGTGGCGTGGTCAGCCCTGCCCGTCGCCTGGACTACGAGCGACCCAATCACATCTACGAGTTCGTGGTGGTTGCGGTGGACGCAGGGACGCCCCCCCGCACCGGCACCGCCTCTGTCCGCATCCGAGTCGCCAATAGCAACGACGAGGCGCCCGTCTTCTCCCAGAGCGCGTAGGATTATTATGTTCTTCTGTTTCCTGCAGTTTTAACTTTCCGTCACCTTTTGAATGAGACTTTCTGTGATGAAGAACACCAGCAGTCTCTGTATCTGTCTCTGTGTCTGTCTCCGTCTCTGTGTCTGTCCCCTGTCGCTGTCTGCGTCTCTCGCCCACAAAGTCAGTCTGCTAATTAAGTTGTTTTTAATTCAGCATCTATTTTTAATCCCGCTGTTCCTTCTCCATCTGTTTTCGCTCCGTCTTCACCTCTTCTCTCACTCCTCTGTCTGTCTCCTTCCCACCTTCTTACTTCATCTCCACTTTGTGTACTTCTTAACTCGTTTCAAACTTTTCTCTGTTCTGTTTTCTCTCCTCATTTCCTCCTCTGGTTTCATCTACTCTCTCTTGTCTCAGTTACAAGACCTTCCTCAGTGAGGATGCTGGTCCGGACACGCTGGTCGCCATCGTTCACGCCAATGACCCGGACGGAGACGCCGTCTCTTATGCCATTACTGGAGGCAACGAGGACAGCAACTTCCTGCTGGACAACCAGAAGGGTGAGAGAACATGGCTGTATTTATAGCAAGCAGTGTTTTGACTTGTGCTGCTGGGCAACAAGAACTCACCTGTCAATCACTGATTCACTGTTCAAACAGAAATGTAACAGACCCTACACAATTGACCTTTCACTAAGCCCCACCCCTCTGCGATGGTGATGAAAGAGTGATTCCAGAGAGAAGCAGACAGAGGGGTCTACAGTCTGTGTTTCAAGGATATATCCAGGATGTCAAACTGACTCAGCAGCAACAACAGGTTAAAAATACAAAGATAGTTAGAAGCTAAAGCCGAACTATAGGCTACAGATCACAGTTGACTTGGTGTAAACCAGCAGGTTTTTGGAACGTTGCAGAACGGCTCATTGCAAGTAGTTGTTAATTTTGTTGATGAAAACTATGACGAAAACAAGACGATGACAAGCTAAGAAATAGATCTTGATAGTAAAAACTAGAACAAAATCTGTGTTTCATTTTCGTTGAAGAGATGTGATGAAAATGTTAATGGTGGACTGTCGGACGTTGAAAGCCGAGAACAGCTGTGCTTGTAGTAAGTTGTAGTGACAGGCTGGTAAACTCCAGTAAATAGTCTGCACCAGGATGTTTGGTTTGGTGCGAGTTGTGAGCTGTAATTCAGCAGTAAATAATCAGCCGTGTGTGTCTTTCTGTGGATGGTGGAGCTGCTGAATGGATTTGTGGAGTTTGTTAGTTGCAGCGGTGGCTGTTAGCAGCTAGCTCCGCTCGCAGCCTCCACAGCTTCACCCCGCAGGACTCCACTCAGTCCGGACTGGAGAAGGTTTGTGGGTTGATGGTGTTTGACAGGCAGGTAGGAGGCTCAGTTATCTGTGAGTGTAGCTGTGCTGTAAGTAAACAGTCTGAACTCAGATCAGTTTTCTCTGACAGAGATCAAAGTTTAGTTTGAATCACCAACTCTGTGAGAGGACACCAGTTTAAACCTCCAGACTAACATGTTGCACATGAAGAAACAAGTTATGTTTCTGCTTCTTAACAGTCACATGGATAAGTCAGAGTTTACAATGAACCTGGGGACAAATCCTAGTTGGCTCACATTAGTTATTTGTTGAGAGCATAAATAGATGTTGAGCTTTTCAGATGATGATCAGTAAGTGTGTGCTCGCAAATCAGCCCTTAAACCTGTCACACACTGCTGGAGACACGACACACACATTATTTTATACAAACTGTCACCTTGATTCTGATTTCTGAGACATGAATCAGCCTCACTGGATTAGTTTAAAGAGAAAAAACATAAAAAACATGACAAAAATGAAGAACTATGAAGATTGAAAATTACTAAAATGTGACTAAAACTAAAACATTTTCATCTCAAGACTGAGACTAAATCTAAAACACGTCTCTGAACTGGACTTCAGGTCTTTGGGCAGAGGTCTTTTGTCGGTCCCAGAGGCCTCTCTTGTGGTCAAGGCCTCGAGGCTCTGCAACAATCTGCCCGAAGAAATCAGGTTGGCCGAGTCAGTGATCTTTCTTAAAGGTGAAGTGTGTAAGATTTAGGCAGATTTGGTGGCGTCTAGCGGTGAGTTGCAGATTGCAACCAGCTAAAACTTCTCTTATTTCACAGTAATCTGAGCAGAAGTTCAGATGACCCAGCGTCACCATCATCGCCTCTAATTAGACAAAAACAGAGGAATTATTATTCACATGTTGTTTGTTAGGGAGGGTAAACACACACATGTACAACACGGTCACTGTTGCACACATACACATACAGCTGCATTCAGATCACAGCACGCACACACACACATACACACACTCACACAGTAAAATGGTTGTTGCTGTGGTAACCAGTATTTGGGGATAAAGCTTGGTAACTTTAACAAGGCCAGTGAACCCCCCGCAACATACACACACAAACACACAAATACATGTGCGTAAATAAATAATAGAAAAAAACATGGATACACACATTTATAATCACTGCAGCTCTGACACACACACTCTTGTATTTCTACCTTTGTGAGGACCCCTGTTTACATGGTACATTCTTTAGCCCCTTAACTTAACCTGAACCTAATTCTTATCTGAACCTTAAAACCAAGTCTCAACCCTTAAACAGGCCTTTGAAGAAATAAGGACTGAAAAAAAATTAAATTAACAACAACAACAACTCTCTAAAAATGTCCTCACTCTGTCACGAACAATACAACGGTCCTCACTATGTAGCAAGTACGAGTATAGACACACACACGCACACACACTTGCATAAATAAATGAAAGAAAAAAAATATGAATACACACATTTATAATCACTACAGCTCTCTCACACACACACACACACACACACACCACTGTCACATATTACATTACATTACACCTGTGGGTATACTGCACAGTGTGTGTGTGTCACAGAGACTTTATGAAGATAAACTTCATGTGCAGCAGCGTGATGCTCCATCATGTTTTGCATGTTTATCTCTGCATGTGTGTGTGTCTTCTCTAAGCCTCGCTGTCACCTTATCACCCAGCATGCACTGCTCCACTGCTCTGCTACACACACACACAAAGACACACACATATGCGTCCATGCACAGATACAAATATGAACATTTGCACATAAATGATATATTAAGACTCACACACACACACACAAGCAGCAGATGGCCTTTGGCTCGTTCGGCTGTTCTGCTTTGTCACTTCAAAGCGTTGTGAAGTATTTTCATGTAGATGTGTTCGCTCCCTCCCAGCCGCCGTGTCTCTGTTCATGTTTCTACCAAAGCTGCTTATTTGTTTGTTTGTTTGTTTGCTGTGCTGCTCTGTTACATTAATGTGGAAGTGTTTGTTAGCGCAGAGAAATGTAACATTTGTTTTAGGCCTGAGACAGAATGATGTGGGGTGGGTGTTTTTTTTTTTTTAATTTTGTTTTTTGCAGGCTGATGTTTTTTCGACAGTCGTTGCTGGTGACGCAGTGACGACCCACAGGGCTGTGAACATCACAGCATCACTGTGTGTCTGCTGTTTAAACTCAGCGTGGTATTTGTATTTACTGATGCTGTTGAGGCTGGGAAACACCCTCCATCAGATGGAGAGCTGATACAATTAATCAATTAGTCCATTAATAGGAAATTAACCTGCAACAGTTTTGATAAGTGACAAACTGTTTGAGGACATTTTTTAAGCAACAATTGAAGAAAAATTCTGGTTCCAGTCTCTCTGATGTGAATATTTCTAGTTTTCTTGGTTTTCTGTGTCAATAAACTGAATATATTTTTGTTTTGACTGTTGATCCAACAAATCAGGACATCTGAAGATGTCACTCTGGACTCTCCGAACTTTTGATGGATTTTCACAATTTGCCATTTTGCCATCATGAGAATGTTGTAATTTACCTTTACCCAATGCTCATTTTTACTGAGTAGAGCTTGGATGCACCATAGTGTAACTCAATCCAATGTCATGGATGTTTAAAGAGACCTGGATATTTGAAGGCAGGCTCCTGTTAATTCCTATGAGAGTTGCTCAGTGGTGCATGAAGCATTATTTCCACTGTATGAAATTACCCAGATGATCGGCGCTGCTTCCGCATCATTGGGTTTATAAAGCAGGTACATTAGAGACTTACTACCAGCGAGCACGGCCGAGCGGGACAGGGTGGCCAACCTCCACTGACCAAGCAGCTGACTTCTGGTTTAGTGCTCCACTAATTTAAAGGGAAATTTCGGTTTATTTCAACCTGTCTCCTATCGTCCTAAATTTGTTTCAAGTGACTAGTGACATAAAAATAATAGTTAGCATGTTAGCCGTTAGCCTAGATACAGCCGGGGCGCATAGTAGCATCAGACCTGTTAAAACGTGAATGGGCAACCTTCAAGTGCAAAGTTAGTCCACTAAACAAGCTTTTTTTCCATAAGGACCGCCTCATATCGTTAGGATAAATGTCAGAGAACATATAGAAAATGACATGTAAACGTGTTGTCTTACCTTACCAGTGTGCTGCCATGTTTGTTTATCATCTAGCTCTGCTTTCCAAAGCGTGGCCGAAATATATCTCGCGATATATGATGATGCTAAACTAGAAGAAGGCGTCCTTTCCCAAAAAGTGACTCCACGTTATCTCTATCAGAGCAGAGACATGTTATCATTCGTCACCTTCTGGAAGACGGGTTTGTTGTTGTTGATGTCGTTGATTTGCACTTCCTGGGGGCCTGTGCAACCTCCGTCAGCAGTTAATTCAGGCAACCGGCTGCTAACAGCTAACATCAACTAGCTCTCCTCCTGCCGGTGTCAACACAGATTTGTTGTTCGCAATGCAGCATCAATGTGAGGGGCAGCAGTAGCTCAGTCCAGAGGGGCTTGGGTTGGGAACCAGAGGGTCACAGGCTCGCGTACCCGTCCAGACTAAGTATGGAGCGTGGACTGGCAGCTGGAGAGGTGCCAGTCCACCTCCGGAGGTGCCAGAAAAAAATTGAAATTCCCCTCAAAGATAAAGTTTATCTTCTTTGTCTTTACTGCGTCTTTTTGTCCTGATGGCTCTGCTTTTTAGCCTTTGCAGTATTGATGTGATACATCGATGAATGTCTGTCTTCTTGTTTGCAGATAGGCTGATGGCCCAATTCTATTGAAGTCCTATATGTAGTAAAAAAGAACAAACAAAGAAGAAACAGGGTCAAATTTTTGTTGTCTTTATAACACCACTCTTGAAGGTTAGAATTGATGTGTGGATAAGAATCTCCTGAATCTCAGTGCCCCTAAAAAACAAAGTATCTCAGCAAACGTTCCTCTTCTACATAAAATAATGTGAAATCCAAGCAAACACCAGACTGCAAAAATAAAATACTTTCTGGAGCACAAACACTGTTGTGGTTTCATTCTGCAGTTTGTTTTTCATGATGACTTTGAGGGTCTCAGAATAATCAGCAGCTCTTAGGTGTTTTCTCTCCCCTCTTTCTTTTTATTTTCTATTAACTGAAACATATTCTGAGCTTCCACCAAGAGGAGTCTGTTTACTGTAAGCTGTCCTCTGGCAGCAGGAAACACAACAACTCCTCAGTGCCTGTGAACATGAAAATAATTTAAGCCCAAGAAATGTTTGTGTTTCAGAGAAAGTGGAAAACATGAACTTTACCAACAACTAAAACCAGACTTTTGTTGAATACTGTTGTATTTAGTGTTGTAGAGGCCTCCGTCTGAATCCCCTGTGTGTGTGTGTGTGTGTGTGTGTGTGCAGGCATCATCAAGTTGCGGAGGAGTCCCCCTCCGAGGCTCAGGGGGCCGCAGTACGTTCTCAACATCACCGCCACGGACGACAACGCGTCTGGTGGACCGTACCCGCTCAGCAGCTCTGCCCAGGTCATCGTAGGAATCAACGACATCAACAACAACAAACCCGTCTTCCAGGAGGTGACGAATGATAACATGTCTCTGCTCTGATAGAGATAACGTGGGGTCACTTTTTGGGAAAGGACGCCTTCTTCTAGTTTAGCATTAGTTTGTTATTTTAACACTGAGGTTTACAGCACATTAATAGTTCTCAACATTTACTGTGTTTCTCTTTGGATCTGTTTGCGCTCTCAGTGTCAGAACTACAGTGTGAACGCGGTGGTTCTGGAGAACCAGCCACCAGGGACATTTGTCCTGCGTGTCCAAGCCCATGACGCTGACATGGGGGTCAACGGAGAGGTCAAATACGGCATCATGCACAGAGACGGAGTGTCATCCGGGTTCAACATCGATCCTGACACCGGTAAGTTCCATGCTACTGCTACAGGAATGCTGTTTTCTCAAGTTGAAAGTTTCTAACATGGTACCTGTGATTGTCAGGTGTGATCACCACGACAGTGAGTTTCGATAGGGAGCGGCAGAGGGAGTACACGCTGTCGGTGACGGCCACAGATCAGGCCGAGGAGCCGCTCATCGGGATCTGTCAGATCACCGTCCTCATTGCCGACCAGAATGACAACGACCCGAAGTTTGAAAACAGCCGCTACCAGTGTGAGTTTAGTTCTGCTGACATCACTGTGATGCCAGTGTGTTTCTGCTCAGTAGTGCTAAGATTCCAAAATAGTTGGGATGCTGTATAAAACGTAGGTCTGACCCCGATAGTCAACCAAATGTTAGTTGATCACAAAGGTCATTAATTTTAAGATTTAAGATTTCATTGGTCGCTGTGTCGCAGAAGAAAAAAACTATTAGGAGCCGCAGGAAATCCAAAGTGTGGGATCATTTTGAGAAGGTGAAGGACGAACCCAAGGTGATATGTAAACTCATCTTCATTGGTCGACTACAAACATGACGTATCATCTGAAACATGGAAGTAGCTACATGCCCATTAGCCCACAGCGTCATTAACAGGCGGCTCGCTCAGTGTGTGACGTGCACTTGGAGATAAAATATAGGCCTATATTAAAGAAGGTTCATTAGTACGGTTTTGTCAACTAATGGCCCTAAATGCTGACTATTGGTCAACTAGAAAATTCTAGTCGACAGTTTCAAGGGGCAGCCCTAGTGAAATGTAAATAAAAATAGAATGCAATGATCTACAAATCCTTTTCAATCTATATCCAGCTGAATACAGTACAAAGACATGACTCTTAAAGCTATGGTCTACGTTTAGAAAGATTGATCATTATTATTAACATCATTTAGATGGTGGTTATGGCCCAATAGTGCTAGCTACACAATGTGAAGAGCAAAAGGAACCAAAAAAATCCATTCTCTCTGGCGGCTGCAGGCCTGCAAAGAAATTGACCAATCACAGCCATCCGGTCCGCATGGCAGTTACTCCTTGCTCAAATTTGCACTCTCTCTCTCTCACCCTCTGTCCAATCCCCTCGTTCCATTTTGACACTCCTCTGCTCCTCGTCCCGCCTCCCGTGTGTGTGTGGGGGATTCTTTCATTCTGAATTTGATGTCTGCATCACATTCCAAAAAAGTTGTTACAGGGGCCAGGAAAACTGTAAAAGTTCTTGAATGCTCAAAGAACACCTGTTTGGAACATTCCACAGGTTAACTGGTAACTGATGACAGTATCATTATTGGATATGAAAGGAGGCATCCTCAAAAGGTTTGACTGTTCACAAGCAAAGACGGTCAACAATAAATGTCTTGTCTTTGGACTATACTCGATTGAATATAGGTCAAAAAAGATTTGCAAATCATTGCACTTTGTTTTAAGTTTTGCACAGTGTACTGACAATGCCACTGCTACTATTTCTGCTAGCTTACTTCAGCTAGCTACTGCTATTATTGCTGTGATTACTGCACTGCACTGCATTACTGATAACTGTTGCTGGTGCTGCTACCTCAACTACTATCATTGCTCCTACTACTACTGCAACCTCTACTGCTGCTACTACAGCCGCTTCACCTGCTGTAACTTCTACTGGTGCTAGTATTTCTACTACTCCTGGGGTTGTCATTGCATCACTGCATGACTATCACTGCTACTTGTACTGTCACCACTGCAGTATACAGATCGTCCAGAAGCAGTTTTCTGTCTCTGATGTTCATGGGGTAGATTTTTTTCATCTTGTGCATCAGATAATGTGAAACAAGGTAGTGACACACTCAGGGTTAAAAGGTTCCTTCACCTCTGGAGTCGCCCACGCTAACATCTGTGTACGCACACTGTCCTCTTGCTGTGCAACAGGAACGTTGCTGTGTGTGTGTGTGTTTGGAGGAACCAGGTGAAATGTGGAGACGGTCTGTTTGTCATCATCTATCAATCTGCATCCTTGTAATCCTGGAAAGCTCTTAAGACTGATGAAATATTCGCCGCCGCCTCCCGCGGGTCGGTGTTTGTTTACTACGTGTGCAAATATGTGTTTTGATAAGCGTCGTGTCAGAAGTTCTCCTCGTCAGATTAGGGAAACACACAGAGTGGCTCATTAACTATTTAACAGGCAGATTGAAATGTTTCTGGGACACGCATTCATTTACAACTGGTGTGTGTGTGTGTGTGTGTGTGTGTGTTGGGGGGTTTCCTGCACAGCGGAGGAAGTGTGCTGGAAACCACCTCTGTTCAGCCTGCTTGTTGTTTATCTTTCGGTCTTTATTGACAAACATTAGAATCAATATTTTGGATGAAGTGAAAAATAGTTCGGATTGACTGTTGACTGTTGGTATTTACGTCACATTTGCACGTTGTTTGAACATTATTATATAGCAGATACATTAATGTCAATTAATATTCCCGCCCCCTTCTGCGACCCCTAACACGACACATTCTCACTCTGACCTCGTCACATATTGACATTGGTCATGGACTTTCCACGTCGAGATATGACGTGCAGCGTACCCTGGTTACATTGAGTTTGTGACAAAACGTTTTTCTGACATGCCTCCACTGTGAGCAAAGAATCCAAAAAGGGAGGACATTTGTTGTAAATTAAAGTAATCAGGGTCTGTATTTAACAACAGCACATACATATCAAAACATGCATTTACAATCTCTCACACAGCTCGTGCAGTATAATCCAAGTCTCCTATCATATGTTCAAAGCTTCCCAAAATGATGGATTTTTGCTAAAAGGTAAGGGCCTGTGTCCATGTAGTGTTTTTTTTTCCAGCACCAGCGTCTATTTTCAGAGCGTTCCGCCTTTTATTGTGCTGCTCTGAGCTCTAAGTTTACAATCCATGAACTTTTCAGCTCGGTGACTGTCTACTGTCACAACAAAGACAGAAAAGCTCATTTTTGTGAGCAGATCGGCAGACAGAAACTAGATGTTGCTGGTGAGCATTTGGCTTTTATCAACATTCCCTTTGTAAGCTTGATGTTGACTGTGTAGTCAACCCTCTGTTCACGTAGCATTGCATTAGCTGACTAGCTAACGTTAGTGTCAAGATATTGTTGTCACAGACAAACTCATATGGAGCACATCGTTAACGCTGTCCCTGCCACTGCCGAGATTTTCTGTAATTTATGACAGAACGCTTCCCCGCCATTGACGTGTTTTATCTGTTATAAGATAGGGGGCGCTGTTACACATCTTATGAAACAGAACAGCACAGCCGTGTCCAAAAACAAACGAAGAAGAAGATCCGCTGGCAACCAGAGGAAGAAGATGTTAACAGAGGAGATGTAGTATCTTGTATACTGCACAAAAATGGACGACGGAAATGTTTACGGTTGCGCACATTTCCACTTTCCACACTTCCTGTTTTGATCTACGTTCGGAATCCGATTTGGACGAAGAAGCAAATGAGAAAATGCACAGATTCAGGTGTCAGTAAATAAGATAGGATAGACTGTTTTTTGTGTATAAAAACAGAAAGACTGTTTTTTAGTTTTATGTAGATACTGTTGACATAGAGCAAATTATTCTGCGGGTCTTGAGAGATCAATGAATATGATCAAAAATGCTGGCGGTGGCTGAAAACTTAAAAATAATACCCGTTAATAGTAGTCGTTTTAAAAAATGTTTAAAAAAAGAAAAGCAATGGGTTGAAGGGCTCCCCGGCACCCTGCCACCACCTTTCTGCTGAAGAAAAACGCTATGTGGACGCAGACACTGACGATTTAAAACACATCATTACAATCAGTCTCACAGACGGACGAGTAGTGTGCTCTTGAACGCTGCTTGTTGGAAAGCACAAGCAGAGCTCAAATGCACACACAAGTGCCCACCTGGCTCAGATCAGCTGTGACTTTAACACCTTAACAATGAGTTTTAAATAGATACTTATTGTTAAATGATATAATGTGAAATAATTAGAGCAACAACAGACAGAAACTTCCAAACAATAGCACAAGTGTGTGTAGAAGTAAACTGAGGGAGGGCAGTAAATCCTGTTCGCTGTTGTGGATTGTTTCAGTTGTTTCTCAGGGAGGCTCGTTGGACTCAGCAGGATCTGACGGGATTATTCAGTAGAAATGTATTCAGAGACCCACAAATGTCAAAAGGACATTATTATTGACATAATGCTTGAAATGCAGTATTACAGAGGGAAATGTGCGGCGGACCTCCTCCTCTCTGCTGCTTGTTTTTGTTGTCTGATCAGCACTGACGCTCATCACAGTCAGCAGGATTGGAGGTTATATTCATAAATTTGAAAATGCAGCTGTTGACGTTGCAGAGTGAGACCCAGAAATGACAAAATGAGGTGACACACTGCTGACACGACACAACGCCATGCTGCCATTATTATAATATCTGCTTACCATCACAGAACATGATGTTTCATTGTGTTCAGGCACATTAATACAGGTCAGTGTTCACGCTTCAGACACCATGCAGCTTCAGTCAGAATATGAATATGAGTTGTAGCCGATGCATGTGGACACGATGGATATCTGATGGAGACGTGTCACGTGACAAAGCACAGAATTATAAACTTTTAAAGGCATCTAGTAATTCAAAAAAAAAGTGTTTGAAGTAACATTACCTGCAGAAGCCAAGCCAGTAGTAGTGGTTATGGAGGGACCAGTAGTACCAGTGGTCATAGTACAAATAATAGTGACAGTAGCAGTCAAAGTACTGCAGTACCAGTAGTATTTTGTCCCCTCCCTGATCGTTCATGTCTTTTTCTCTCAGACTTCCTGCGAGAGGACACTCCAGTAGGAACTAGCTTCCTGCGAGCGGCAGCGCACGATGACGACCAAGGGAGCAACGCGGCCATCACCTACTCCCTGTCCAATCAGAAGCCAGCGTACCTGCACATCAACCCCAGTACTGGCTGGATTTACGTCAACCACCCCATCTCACAGGTCAGAGACAGACACACCCGACTTTACTGACGTGTCCTTGATGTGCTAAAATGTCCACACATTTTAAAAATCTCTTCACGCTCAGAAAATGTCCTCACTTTGGCAAAATGTCCCCACTATATCAAAATGTCCCCACTTTCACAAAATCTCCCCACTATATCAAAATGTCCCCACTTTAACAAAATGTCCCCACTTTACAAAATGTCCCCACTTTCACAAAAAGTCCCCACTTTAACAAAATGTCCCCACTTTGGCAAAATGTCCCCACTATATCAAAATGTCCCCACTTTACAGAATGTCCCCACTTTATCAAAATGTCCCCACTTTACAGAATGTCCCCACTTTATCAAAATGTCCCCACTTTACAAAATGTCCCCACTTTATCAAAATGTCCTCACTTTATCAAAAATGTCCCCACTTTATCAAAATGCCCCCACTTTACAAAATGTCCCCATTTTAACAAAATGTCCTCACTTTATCAAAATGTCCCCACTTTAACAAAATGTCTTCACTTTAACAAAATGTCCCCACTTTGGCAAAATGTCCCCACTTTCACAAAATCTCCCCACTTTAACAAAATGTCCCCACTTTGGCAAAATGTCCCCACTATATCAAAATGTCCCCACTTTACAGAATGTCCCCACTTTATCAAAATGTCCCCACTTTACAAAATGTCCCCACTTTATCAAAATGTCCTCACTTTATCAAAAATGTCCCCACTTTACAAAATGTCCCCACTTTAACAAAATGTCCTCACTTTATCAAAATGTCCTCACTTTAACAAAATGTCCTCACTTTAACAAAATGTCCCCACTTTGGCAAAATGCCCCCACTTTAACAAAATGTCCTTACTTTAACAAAATGTCCCCACTTTATCAAAATATCCCCACTTTGGCAAAATGTCCCCACTATAGCAAAATGTCCCCACTTTGGCAAAATGTCCCCACTTTGGCAAAATGTCCTCACTTTAACAAAATGTCCCCACTATATCAACATGTCCCCACTATATCAACATGTCCCCACTTTAACAAAATGTCCCCACTTTAACAAAATGTCCTCACTTTATCAAAATGTCCCCACTTTAACAAAATGTCCTCACTTTGACAAAATGTTCCCGCTTTATCAAAATGTCCCCACTTTGGCAAAATGTCCCCACTTTATCAAAATGTCCTCACTTTATCAAAATGTCTTCACTTTAACAAAATGTCCCCACTTTGGCAAAATGTCCCCACTTTAACAAAATGTCCTCACTTTCACAAAATGTCAAAAGTTTGTATTCACCTGCACTGGATAGAAAATGATCAATACCATGATGTTACTGTGTCGGGGTCACAGGGTGGAGGTTGTGTTTCCACGGCAGCAGCTGTTGTGTTGTTTCCTCTGTGAGGAGAATAAAAGTCTGTCGTCTTTAATGTTTAACGATCGTCACAATTGTGTTTGTGTGTTTTCTTCTTTGTACAATCTCACAAAGTGAAACTGAAAATCCACGAGGAAGTGAATCTGTCAGTTGTTCAACAAACGTCTGATATGAATGATGCCGACTCTTCTTCTTCTTCTTCTTCTTCTGTGCCTGTCGTCTCATCTCTGTTCTTCTTCTCTGCCTCTCACTGCCACTGATCTTTTAAACGACACTTCAGTCAATAATTTACCAAAGGCAGATTCAGCGCTGCCGTCTTTCTTTATTCACTTTTTAAGAACAAACCAAGAGATCAACAGTGTTTCCGTCTTCTCTGTTTTAATATTTACTTATTTTACAAACGCTGAGTGGCCTCTCATGGCTGTCAGACAGCAGCAAGATCATTAAAATCTGATTCTGATGATAACAAGCTCAAGTTTGGGTCACAAACTTTATGATTTTTTTTTTAATTTGTTCCTGCAGTTTCATAAAAGTCAGGAAAGGTGACTGGACAAATATTCTCTCCAGGATCTGACGCTGTGACCTCTGACCTCTGAAATGAAAGATAAAAGAAGCAGCTCTCATTAACAGCTCACCTGAAGACGTTCCCTCAGTTTGTTCAGTGACCTTTGTCGTTCCCTACAGACGTCCAGGATCAACCAGCAGATCGTGGCGTCAGACGGAGGGAACCGCAGCAGCTCTGTGGAGCTGACAGTCATCATTACAAATGTCCACAACCAGCCGCCGCACTGGGAGCAGCCTGAGTACTGGGTCACCGTGCCAGAAAACACCGTACGAGATGCCAAGATAGTGGTGAGTAACATGACGCTGAGCAGGAAGATGAAACACTAAACAAGGACTTTCTTTGATGCAGAGCAGCATTCGAGACAGTTTGGTGAATTTGTAAAGAGATATATAAACTAGCATGTTGCGATGAAGTGCTGTACTCAGTGAGGAAATACTTTTCCAGGATGAGCTGAGCAACACAGCAACATGAGACAGTTTATGACTCTTACAGCAAAACTGACATCCTGAAGAAAATGTTGGTATTGTTTCTGCAAAGCACAGGAATGTTCCATTTGTACTTTTTCAGATGTATCATATCAACGTTTCTAAAGTGATGTAGTTTATGAGCTGACTTTGTCATCAGGAGGTGGAGGGGGATGGTGGATGACATTTAGGCGAGACGCCTGCCAAGCTGCAGACCACTGTTTGACTGTCTAACAACAAAACTGTTTGTTTTTTGGTGAGACATTGTTATGTTTCCAGCTGCTTTTTAGCCACAAAACATAGGTGTTTTTAACTGCAGGGATAGTGGCAGGAAAAGTAGTCATGGCAGTTTTTTACTGAGACGTTTCCAGTGGGGATTGTGCCCCCAAAACTGGGTATTTTAAGCTAAAACGTGATCTTTTCGTAATCATAACCAAGTAATTTTTGTGCCTAAACGTAACCATTGTTTTAACTTAAAATTTCAACACAGTGCTACATCACTGGCTCGCAACCTCGGGGTCTCGACTTCCACTGGGCATTCACCCAAGCTTCACGGGGGATTGTAAGACCTTCTTGATTTTAAAGGGTTTCAGAAAACTTTTAAGACTAAGCAGACCAAAACTCTCTCCACTCATTTTTGTAAAGAAAACTACATGAAATTGTTATTTTTTCAAGTTTATAATGTTATTCAAGATATCAACATTTAAAAAATTCTCACAGTATAACACTTCGTGTTTGCACGGAGACGAGTCAACTGGAAGTTCATTCATTCCGATTGGAATCTCTGTGATATCTGATGTGCGGGTGAAACTCCTCCCCTCTGTAATATTTCGGTCTGGAGTTTGCCTCGAGTACGTGAAAAAATTTTATCCAAGTCGATTAATTGATTTGTCATATGGTCTCTCCGACACCCACTGCAAAAGTTAAAATTTTTAACTTTTGCAGTGGGTGTCGGAGAGACCATATGACAGTGTGCTAGCTTCACGAAATGGCTGCTGACGAGCTAACAGGCTGTTTCCTTGAATTCAGTTCCCTATGCTGATTGTCAAATGAGTTTGTCTGATTGAAAAAATAATGCATTCTAATCTAGTTTTAACGCATTGTGAATCTGAGTAAAGTTATTCTGCTAAAATATGGTTATACATTATATACAGTCAGATCGTCTTAATGACTCATTCAGTGCTTCATACGTCTTTTTAATAAAATACATCACAAGTCATGCTCCGTACCTGGTAGGCCAACATCATCACTGATGTGTTTCTATGCAGTATGGGTCCTGTTTTTGTCCCAGTGATGTTCACAGCACATTATCCAAACTACTCCTGAGCTGAGAGACTTACACAGTTGCACAGAATCCCTTAAAAACTCATTTACTGCATTGAAATTAATTTTACAGCAGTAAAAGTTTCCATGGATGTTTTTTGTTTGTTTGGACTCATGCTTGTGACGCCTGCTATCGTCTCACAAAGTTGGCGTATAGTTAGATGGTAAAAAAAAAAATGGCAGAGGAGAAGAAGACGACAAGAAAACCGTACTGATCAGAGGAGGAAAAGATTAAACCTCTGAAGGAATACAATCATAGAAAGAACAAACTACAGTAAATTTGATCCCAAAATACCAGAAAACACAAAATGATTGTAGGAAGAAGCAACAAAGTTAATTCAGTCAAATCTAAAGTGAAAAATCAAAAGCTATTGTTGTTGTGCCTTAAATATAATATGAAATTTCCATAAAATGTGTCACTTTGTCAGTTTAGTCAATAAATAGAAAAGGGGTCCATTGAGGAAAAAGGTTTGGAACCACTGCACTATATAATAAAGTACAAAAGTATCTGTGATTTGCAGAAACATATGATGTCAACATTTAATGACAGGCGCACGCAGACAGACTCATATATCCAAGTCAATTAATTGATTAGTCAAAAGAAAAGAAAAATGAATCAGTGACTTTTCAAACAAAAATGCAGAACATGTCCTGCCCTCCCAGATGTGATGATTTGCTGCTTTCTTTGTCAGATATTACAGTAAACTGGGAATCTTAAAGTTTTGGACTGAGCAAGCAAACTGAAAACACAAGGCCGTGGGGTCTTCATGCAAAATTACGCAGCCCTCGCTTTACGGCGGCTGTGATCTCCTTCTGAAGGTCTAAAATACTGCAGGTTGCCTCAGAAGTTGCTGATCAAGTGACTGAAGCTCGTCTTCCTCCTCTGATCATTGTAACCAGTTCTGAGATGTGGAGAGGAGTGCGACACGAGCGAGGGAGGAAGAAGACGTGGAAAAGAGAGGAATATTTAAATTTCCTGCAGGAGTTCTCTCTCGTTTACATCCTCCCTCACATCTGTGCACAGCACCCCGAGGAGGCTTGAAACGCTCTTTCTTCTTCTCCATCCCTCTCTCCTCACTGTCCTCCATCCATCTTTTCCTCCCTCTTTCCCTCTCTGTCTCTCTCGGTGTCAGCACGTTTAGCCGAGCGCTTCAAAACATTTTCTGCCGAGCAAACAACAAACCCACCCCGAGTCTGTCTCACCTGACTCCCTCCAACCAACACACACACACACACACACACACACACACACGCTTGGTTTGCTTGTATACCTCTGGTAATTTTTCCCTCTTTTGATCCCTCCATCCTAATTTGCTCTCTTTTCCTAAGCCGCTGGTTTAGAAGGTGGAGGAGTTTTTTCCCTCCAGCTGCTCGATTTCATGGAGGTTAGTCAGTTTTCAAACAGTTGTAGGGTGTGTGTGTGTGTGTGTGTGTGTGTAATCCTATGTAAGCCTGTGTGTGCTTGAGTGTGTACTTGTCTGTGCTGTATTTAATCCTTCCTCCTCCTCCTGTTCGTCCCCTCGTCATCACTGAGAAGACAGATAGACTGATGATAGTGATGATGATGATGATGGTGGTGGTGGTGGTGGTGTGGATGATGGTGGTGGTGGTGGTGGTGGTGATGGGAGGCTCTCCCACCCACAGCTCCATCTGTCAGAGATGATTGACAGGATGGAGAGATAATTACACCTGCTGTCGGAGCATCACAATGGACTCTCATCACCTCTGAAAAACAGACGCCTAATTACTGTGTTTAACCTGACAGAGGCTGTGTGATGGAGGGAGGGAGGAGGAAGAAGGGAAGAGGAGGGGGAGAAGGGGGGAGGAGGGGGAGATGACTCTGTGGGCTCAAGTATTTCAATTTACCAACACAAGTGTCACCAGTAGGAAAGACTTCAATCAGAGCCCACATCTGACTGGCACTACATCATCATGAGTCGGCTCTCCTCACCGTGCTCCTTCCTGAGGGAAACAGTCCAGTGTTTAATGTAGATAACATGTAAAGAGGAAGTTGAAACATGTCTTCAAATTTCTACTTTAAACAAATGGGTTAAAACTAATAAAGCAAGCCAAAGAGCCGCTGTATATAAAGTAATCTCCGATTTGTTTTCCAGACATTTTGTAAAAATGACAGAAGACAGCAGCTCAGACTTTGGCTCTAAGCTATGTGTGAGACTGGCATCGCCAATTCAGTGTTTCCCTTTTAGGGGAAAGAAACACGCTGTTAGAGAGGAACAGGAAACTGCCGAAAAGCTGTTGTGCGGGGGGTTAAGGCACATAATACACAAAAGAATTAAGGGTGCTTCCACTCCTGCCCTGTTTGGTTCGGTTTGCAGTGCGGTTCGTTTGGGCAGGTGTGAACACAGTAATCACACTGGAGATCATGTTGTAGGGCTCTGGTAGTGCTCCTCCTGGTCCTCCTCACACAAAGGAGCAGATACCGGTCCTGCTGCTGGGGTGATGCCCTTCTACGGCCCTGTCCAGCTCTCCTAATGTAACGGAAGGTCTCCTGGTGTCTCCTCCATGCTCTTGAGACTGTGCTGGGAGACACAGCAAACCTTCTTGTGCCATCCTGGAGGAGCTGGACTACCTGTGCAACCTGACTGGGCTGCAGGTATGGCCTCATGCTACCAGTAGTGTCAAGGACACTAGCAGAAGACCAAACTAGAGAAGAATCAGTCAGGAAGGATAAGGAGAGAGCAACTGTCTGTGGACACCACATGTAAAACCATTCCCTTATTGGGGGTTGTCTTGCTTTTGCCTCTCCATTGCACCTGTTGTCACTTTGATTTGCACCAAAGTAGCTGAAACTGATTCACAATTACTTGTGCTTCCTGAATGGACACATTGATATCCCTGAAGTTTAACTGACTTGCTCCAGCAACACTCACTTTAATGGTGACGTAGTACTGATAAGAAACAGCATCAGTGTTTTTGGTACCGACGTACTGAAATGATTTAGACACATGTTTGATGCAGCCAATTAACACGTTACAATTTCCAAAACTGACGGCCCCATTTCTCTTCTTCCGCCCCCCTCATCCTCCCTCCTTCCTCTCCTCTGCTGTGTTAATTGCACTGAGGAGGAACTGTTGTTTTAAATTTAGCAGCGTTAATAAGGTTTGTTAATTACATTGTTAACGAGGTGGAGGGAGGGAGGCGCTGCAGAGGTGGGAGCTGCTGCGTGTGTGTTTCATAACCGTCTCATCATCAGCTGACTTCCTCCTGTTTGCTGTTTCTTCTTCCTGTCCATGTTCTCTGCCGCTGACTTACTGATCATGTAGTGTTTTTTTTCATAATTAAGAAATATATTTCATAAGTAGCATTAGAACAACAATGAATGCATGTCAGGAGTGTTTTTGCTCACTCTGTGCCTGCTCAGTGATGAAACAGCCACAAGCTGAACCTTAGCTAACGTGTTGGCAAAGATTCTCAGTCATCCACGTCATGGTAATGTCAAGTGTAGTGTTAAGAGTTTCACCTCTCATCCAAGAGGCTTCTTCAGTTCACTTCATGAACTTAGTCAATGCCTAAACACAAACAACACAAGCATAGATCAGTCGCATTCCTTTTATTCAAAACACAACTAGATGCATGTAAAAGTGTGTCAATCAGACGTGTTAACAGTGACATTAAATTTAACATGGACGGTCAATAAATTTCTTGGCCTGAAAAAAGAAACACAGTAACAGAATCAGTAGTTTCAGTATAAAACCACTTCCCTTGTCGCTGACGCCCCCTTCAGCCGACAGCTAACTGTTTGAGTCTGACAGGATGATCTGTATCATCACACTCCGCACCAGCAGCACCAGTTGAGAACGATCTGCTGCCACATCTCCACAGGCGTTAATCTGTGTGGGAGAAGATGGCAGCCGCTGATCAGCTTAGCTGCAGCACACTGCACTGATGTCTAATGAGATGATTTCTCATTAGTGCTGATTCCATACGCTCAGCTGCCCCAGCCCGCTGTGAGGCAGAGCCAACACTCCGCCTCCTGAGCAGGGCCAGCGTGTCCTGACTTGACTCCTCACCTGGAAACTGGACAGCTACCACTGAGGCTGTTTGTCAGGTTTTGGGTTATCATTTCTTCCAAAAATATTTTGTCATTTCACTTTGAACTTTTGCTGAGTTGGCCATTTTCTCCATTGTGGAGGCTGTTGCTCTGAGTTGTGGTTAGAAAATCAGCTGTGTCTGTTGTGGCAGCAACCTGAGACAATGCTGGTGTCCAGACGGAGGAGGTCTTTCAGACTTAGTTGGCAAAGGGGTCTCCTGAAGCAGCACACAGAGACTGAGAGTCCAGAAGAGCTGCAGCTACTGTGGTCACCAAACCAAAAACCAGGCTTAGGGAAAATTTTCTGGCTTTAAAGAGGTTCTGGAGAACTGTCGCTCAGGAGAGAAAGCAGTTCTTGTCTCAAGCTGTGTTGACCCTGACTGGGATTATTGTCGAGTGATGGAAGGAGCACTTTGAGGAACTTCTGAACCCAATAAGCATGTCTTCTCTAGAGGATGCAGACTCACCCACTTCCTAGCAGAGGTCTGTGAGGACTGTGAGGCACCAGGTGTGGATGAGATTCAACCTGAGAGGCTGAAGGCTCTTGACATTGTTTTCGCTGAAACGCTTCCTCAGTGTTGCTTGGATTTCCAGGAATAGCAGTTTAAAGTTGTAGTCCCTTAAAAGGACAAAGGGGATCGGAGTCAGTGCACCAATTACCACTGGGAGAGTTTATGCCAGGGTGCTGGAAAGGAGGTTTCGACTTCACCTCAGATCCAGGTTGTAGAACAATGGAGCAGCTCCTTTGCAGGGTGTTTAGAGGCCCTGGTGGACTCAGGCGAACCCCCTTGTTTTAAAAGAAGCCAAAAGTACCCTCTTGGGTGCCCCTTTGCTAAGTTAAACATGAAGGGTTTCTTTCCAATGGAGAAAACAGGACGCAGGCTAGAAAAAGTGTTCACACTGGTGCCCATTTATTACCCCTGCCCTTCTGATTAACCGCCTTTAATTGGGGTTGTGTTTACCATCTTCACAGGGGTCCATATGAATGACCTCTTCTTGTGGTTTTCATCACCTCATAATCTTCTGAAAGCTTCATGTGTTCTGACATGTTTGCTTACGATCCATCCAACAGTGAGAGCTGTGTCCGGATCTTTGGCAGGAAGGTATTTTCAGTGCACGTCGGGCCCTGCCAGGATTGTCCTCCATGTCGAAGGGAATCAGTTGTGGTGGTTCAGGCATCTGATCAGGACCCTTTGTGTGCCTTTTTTTGGAGGTTTTGAATGAAAGTCTAACTACTAGGAGACCCAGAACACACTGGAGGGATCACATATCTCATCTGGTTTGGAAACACCTCGGTGTCCTGCAGGAGGAGCTTTGTCAATGGAGTCTGTTGGCTTTGATGAGAGCATAGTTGGGAAACTGAAGCCATTAAAGGCCTCTCTGTTGAAGAGGATGAAAAGTATTTAGAATACAGCATACACTTAAACTGATATTGATTTTAAAGTAACTAAAATATGTTGCTGCTGCTCCCGTCTACAGCAGTACATTGCATATTTTCCCTGGACCTACTCCTGTCTGTTTACCCAAACTGCAGGCGACTGACTGACATCTACTGTAGGTAATACACTGTGGATAAGTACCTCATACAACCCCACTTTAAAAGATCTGAACTATCCCTTTAAGAGAGACAGAGCTGAGAGGGTTTCGGTGTTTGAAGTGGCGGACAGTGTTTCTCACTCAGCGACTCTCTGTGTCACCGTGAGGAAACACATTACCGCTGCTGATACGCAATAAACAATGAGAGACAACGGGATGGACTGTGATAATAACTGAGGGGGGTTTAAAGGGTTAAAGTGACAAATAATCCAGGACAGTATAGAGATTTTATTAAAAAATCTGTCACAGTGAAGCGGCATAAATCAGTGAAATGTGTGTGTGCAGGGATGTGTGAGCACAGGTCATACTCTCAGGACAATAAAGAGAGGTGGCATCACTCAGCTGGAGAAAACACAATCCTTCCCTGGCAAGGTTGGGAGTGTGTTAAAAGCTCACACACACACACACACACACACACACACATAAACACACACACACACTCTCTCTCTCTAAGGTCAGCTCAAACTACAGCCAAGAGAATAACACGAGTCTTAAAAGCTCTGCTGCTGTGTGGATGCACAGGTCACAACAACACACACACGCACACACACACAGATCCAAACACATATTTTCTAACAAATTCACACAAAGAACGCAAACAAAGCAGAAACTGGACCCTTTTTAGGTGTTAGTTTTCTCTGTGACTGCTTCATTTCCATAGAAGGACTGAGCCGCCGCTCTGACCGTCTGAATGATGCATTCTTTGTAGCACTGTGTATCTTACCATGTCATATTTTTAGTGAGTGTTATGGTTTATGGATCTGGGAGACGTTAAAGTCGTTGAAACCGTTATGAAGACAAAAGACCTCGCTGTCGAGCAAACAGCTGCGTGCTAATATGATGTCATCATGAACCAGGACGGGAGTCTTCATCTTCTTCTTTGCCTTCAGTCTTTGATGGATTGTAATGAGATGTGGGAGTTATTGTTATAGAAATGGAGATAAATCTGGTTTGTAGAAATCAAGATATAAACTCAAAGCCAAAAAGGAATGCACAGAGGTTTGAGGAGCTGCAGGTGCTGGATGCGAGCTACCTTTTATTCTCTCTGTACCACAGCATCTATTATGTATGTGTATACATCCAGACACTGCCTTATTATCTCCTTTAAGGTCCAGTGTGTAAGATTCAGGAGGATTTGGTGCATCCAAAGGAACAAAGACACAACAATTCTTTTACACTAAAGAAGACGTACATGTTATGCTACATTCCATTTCTGCCAATTCACCCTGACTACTGAGGAGGAGGAAGGTGGGGTGAGGTGTGACCATGTAAATCACTGTGTCTGGCCCACCCTGCTCTCCTCAGGTGTGCCTGACATTGATATTTCCTCCACTTCCTGTAGATTTGCTCTGAGAGACAGCGTGAACACACAATAACACATCATGTGCATCTGACCTCTACACTCCCTCTTTCTCCCCTCAGACCATCAAGGCGACGTCCCCACTCGGTGACCCCCGGGTGACCTACAACCTGGAGGAGGGTCAGGTGCCGGAGACCAACATGCCAGTGCGTTTCTACATCAAGCCGAACCGGGCGGACAGCTCGGCGTCCATCCTGGTGGCTGAGAATCTGGACTACGAGACCACACGGTTCTTCACGCTCAGGGTGCGGGTCCAGAACGTGGCCGCCGTGCCGCTTGCATCGTTCACCACCGTCTATGTTAACGTGACAGGTAAGGCGGAGAGGGAGTGTGTGTGTGAGCTCGTAAGGGTTATTTGAGGGTAAACACGCAGATATCAGTTCAGTGCTTTACTCAGATAGATCATAAACATCAACAACAAATTGCTGCCAGTAACATTTTTTGTTTGGTGACAGATTTATTGCTGCGGTTGTGTGAAAGGTAAATTCTTTAAACCAGAAAGTGACACAGGCCATCTGGCATTGTGGGAACTTGTGGGCCAACACAACTGTCTTTTTGTTGTTGTTGTTGTTGTTATTGTTGTTGTTGTTGTTGTCTGACCCATGGATGTATATGTAGACATTGCATAGACTGTGTCAGCAGCTGCAGAGCGGTGCTGCCTGTGTTCATGAGGAGTCCGTCTTGCTGAGGTTGGATGTCCATCCATCCAGCAGGCCAAGCAAAGCACCCCAGATGTCCTTCTCCCTAGCAACACTTTCCAGCTCCTCCTGGGGGACCCTGAGGTGTACCAGATGAGATATATAATCCCTCCAGCGTGTTCTTGGTCTGCCCCAGGCTCGGACTTGGCCCTCCTTGAACACCTCTAACAGGAGGCGCCCAGGACGATCCTGATCAGATGCCCAAACCACCTCAGCTGACGCCTTTCCACTCGCTGCTGCTCTACTCCGAGCTCCCTCTGGATGTCTGAGCTCCTCCCCCTATCTCTAAGGCTGAGCCCAGACACCCTACAGAGGAAACTCAATTCAGCTGCTTGTATCTGCGACCTCATTCTTTCGGTCACTACCCAGAGCTCATGACCACAGGTGAGGGTTGGGACGGAGATGGACCAGTATATTGTTACGGGGTGGCAGTAAGGACCCAAGTGCGGACAGACAGTGAAACAGTTTGAGTTTATTTTAGCTCTCTGGGTGAGGGGGTCTGGGTCCAGAGCGTCTGAGGAGGGGGCAGGCTGAGTGGGGAGTAGGCTGGAGCATCCGAGGTGAGGGCAGGTGGAGCAGAGCGGACCGGAGAGCAGAGCAGGCTGGTTGGATACTGGAAACACAGGAAAACAGGATTACAGACAAAGTTTTAAGTCAAGGATTCAACTAGAGGCTAGAGTCGAGCTGTATACTGACTTAACAGTGGCTACGATCTGGCAGCGTGGATGTGGCAGGGCTGAGTACAAGTAGGCAATTGATTGCAGAATGAGATGCGGCTGGTGGTGCTCTGCTCAGTCTCCGGCACACCTGTAACCACTCTGCTCACCACACACACACACACACACACACACACACACTCAAGCAGCAGATGTAACATATATTGAAAGCTTCGCCTTCTGGCTCAGCTCCCTCTTCACCACGACGAACCCGCACCACTGCAGATGCCACACCAAGTCACCTATCCATTCTACCCTCACTTGTGAACAAGACCTTGAGATACCTGAACACTTGACAGCACAACAGCAGGGTGAATCTCATCCACACCCGGCGCCTTGCCAATAGGAAACTTTTTGACTACCTCCCCGACCTTTTATTATAATTAATTATAAAGCCAACGATGTAAATAGACACACACATAAAAAAGGACTTAATTACTGTGCACAAGTTAAAGGATCTGATTGTATAATTCCATGTGACAAATAAATTATTGATTGATTTATGAACAAGCCAACATGTAAAGGAGTGACGGATCAAAGTGTCTGAATATTTAACTCTTATCTCAGAGGAAAGACACAGTCGAAACACACGCTGCTACAACAACAGAATTAGTCTCTTCATATTTTAACAGCACTTCTAATTTGAAAGCAGCCCGTGTAATTATTTCTGTGACTCGTTTTAAGATTAGAAGCTCATTTACTCTCGTAAATGAGTCATTGTTCAGATGTGACGAGCAGAGGAAGAGGAGCGATCAGGGAACGGCCAAAACTCTGTAATGAGCGACACTGCTGGAAGATGACAAAGAGAATGATGGGGAGGAATAATGAAGTGTAGTTCACTTCCCTGTGTAGACTCTGGCGGTAAACAGTAGCGGCTGGTGCCGTGAGCACCACACCGCCTCATTTTAACAGTGACTCATTTCCCAGTCAGCACCTGTAGGCGGGCGGAGAGAAGGGAAGAGGAGAAAACACTTCCTGACTTTGATTGGCTTTGAACAAACCCACATCGGACGCTGTAATTGGCTTAGCGGAGCTTGAAAGTGAGCTGACAAGCTGCTTTGTGGACTCTTCATGGTGTTTGGAGGATAATTCCTCACTAATAAGTCGGTTTTCATTAGCGAGGGGAGACGCAGTCCAACTTCACTTTCTGATGGACTTCAGCTCGCTAACTGTTTCTCCTTCTCTCCTTTTGTCTGTTTCTTCTTTCTTTATTTCACTTCACTTTTTAATCTTCTTAACTGGTGTAAACGTTGCAGAAAACACAAACTTTCCTCTGTCTTTCTTTGCTTCTCTCTGCCTTCTATCTGCTTCTCTTTCTTTGTTTGTTTCTGTCTTTCTCGCCTTCTCTCTGTCAGCTTTTAATCCAATTTAATCAGCTTTCATGGACGTGACAGACTGTTTGTGTTCTCCTGCCAGATCCTGCAACAACAAAACAACAACAAAAGATAAATTTAGAAAGAAATGTTTCTTCCTTTTCTTTCCTTCCTCAGACGTGAACGACAACGTTCCTTTCTTCCTGTCGTCCACCTACGAGGCCACGGTCCCAGAGGGAGCCGAGATTGGCACGTCGGTGGCTCAGGTGTCGGCCACAGACCTGGACTCTGGTCTGCACGGGAGGGTGAGGAACATCTGAACACATGCATCATTTATTTTCTTCTCCTTCTTCTTCTTCTACTTCTACTGAAGTTTCTTTCTTCTTCTCCTTCTTCAGATCCATTACGTGATCCTGAAGGATGAGAGTGGGGACTCTCAGTTCTTTGACATCGACTCACGCAGTGGTACCATCGTCACTCGAGCCTCCTTCGACCGCGAGCAGAAAGCCTCCTACCTGATCGAGGTCCAGTCACAGGATGGCTCCGAATCGGCCAGACCAGGCCAGCAGGGACAACCTAACACAGGTAACACACGCACACACGCAAGAAAGGTTGTCCCATTTCATAGAAGATTTCAACCATTAGCCTTTGTACATCTATTCTGGGGTGAAAAGGGTCACTCAAAAATAAGGGGAAAGGATAAAATAAGGAATGCGATTTGGCAAAAACCTCATTTCATACCTCAAAATCACACTGACGCCAAATGATGATGCTGCTGTAAGTAGAAAATATTCTGCAGACCACAGAAGCTGATTCAGGTGTTTGTAAATGTATTTTCTGTCTCTCAGACACGGCATACGTCAGGATCTTTATCACCGATGTCAACGACAACGCCCCGGCGTTTGCCCGGCCAGTGTACGAGGTGAGCGTGGAGGAAGACAAGGAGGTCGGCTTCGTCCTCATCACCGTCACCGCCAACGACGAGGACGAGGGTGAGTCACAGTGGGTTTTCTGTCTGTCTGTCTGTCTGAGGGATGCAGCTGAAGATGTTGTTGGAGAGAACTCAAACTTTCTTGTTGAGTGTGAGGCGTGTTACGAGATGTGTTAGATATGAATATTGTAACAACCCCCCCCCACCACAACCCCCACACCATTACACCACCAGCAGCAGCCTGAAGCGTTGATACAAGGCAGGATGGATCCATGCTTCCATCTGAATGTGGTTTTTCCAATCTTCTATTGTCCAGTTTTGGTGAGAAAACCCGTGTGAATTGTAGCCTCAGTTTCCTGTTGTTAGCTGACAGGAGTGGCACCTGGTGTGGTCTTCTGCTGCTGTAGCCCATCTGCTTCAAGGTTGGACAAGGTGTTGTTGCTTCAGAGATGCTCTTCTGCACACCTTGGTTGGAACCAGTGCTTATTTGACTTCCTGTTGCCTTTCTATCATCTTGAAGCAGTCTGGCCATTCTCCTCTGACCTCTGGCATCAACAAGGCATTTTGGCTCACTGGATATTTGCTCTTTTTGGGACCATCCTCTGTAAACCCTAGAGATGGTTGTGCTGAAAATCCCAGTAAATACTCAGACCAGCCCGTCTGGCACCAACAACCATGCCACGTTCAAAGTCACTTCAATCACCTTTCTTCATCATTCTGATGCTCAGGTTAAACTTCAGCAGCTCGTCTTCACCATGTCTACATGACTAAATACACTGAGTTGCTGCCACGTGAATGGCTGATTAGCTATTTGCATTAACGGCAGTTGAAGAGGTGTACTTTAGAAGTAGCCACTGAGTGTATATTGGCTATAGGTTGGTACATATCATGAATGTGTAAATTAAAACCTCAGCTGGAGTTTGATTGTCTGCTCCAACGCTGTTGACCGCAGCAGTGATTTCGATTTCCTTTGAAGCCACTTTCAGGCTGCCAAATAGAACCAGGTGGTTAAATTGGTCCTGGGACGTCAGTGTTTCCATTTCCAGCTCAGAGAAGGTCTTTTTGCCTCTTCATGTCATGAACTCTGGGGGCAAGGCCTCTGAACTCAGAATATATCATGGCAGGATATTTAAAGGATGATTTCAGGGGCCACATTTATCATTTACATTTAGTCATCATTCCTTCGCTGTGATTTGTCGGATAAGAACGTTTGATGAATCACTGAGGGCCGAGATATGATGTTGTATGATGTTGTCTGATTGTTTGGGATTACTCTTCTGTCATCCTCTCCTCTGTTCTGTTCTTCTGTTTTCTTTATTTACCAGCTCTTCTTGACTCCTCTCCTCTTTCCTGCTCATCTGTATTCCTCTTTTCCTCTCGTTTCTTTTCTCCACTTTTCTCCTCTTCACCCTTATCTTGTTCTCTTCTGTCACCTTCTCTTCTTTGATATTCTTTCTGTTCTTTTCTCCCCATCTCTTCATTCCTACTCTGTTCTCTTCATTTCCTTTTCTCCTCTCTTTTGGCTCTCTGTTCATTCTCGTTACCTTTTCTTTAGACTTCCGTCTCTTTGCCTTTCCTATTCTTTCCTTTCTTCTCTTTTCTTCTATTGTATTTGTTTCTCTTCATTTCTCTCTGGATTTTATCTTGTTCTCTTTTTTCCTCTCTTCTATTCTTCTTTTTACCTTTTCTCTTATGGTATTTTTTCCTCATATTTTTTGCTCTCTTCTGTTTTCTTTGTTTCCTCTCAGTTCAGATTTTCTCTCCTCTTTCCCCTTACATCCTCTCTTTTCCTCTCGTCCCTCCCCTCTTCTCTATCCTCCTCTCCTTTTCTCTCTCCTCCTGCTTCCTCTCCTATCCCCTCTCTCCTCCCCCTCCTCTCCTGTCTCCTCCTCTCTTCTTCTCTTGCTGTCACAGCTCATTAGTGAGTGCTGTTGATCCCTTGAGGTCGACAGTTTTGATGTTTGTCTCTTTGTTTGTGTTTGTCCCTCATTCCTTTTCCTCCTCCGCTCCAACCAATAAGCAGCAGGAGGCAAAAAATCTGAAAACAACAAAACAAGCGCTTCTCTCTTTCTTTCTTTCTCTCTCTGTCTCTTAATGACGGCGGCTGCTGGCGTTGGCTCAAAGTCTCGGGGGTTTTCTTTACTCTGAGTAAAGGGAAGGAGAGTGACGTCTGATTATTTATTTTCTTTTTTTAATCTTTAACCTTTACTTGTTCTGTTCTCCACACTCACACTCGGCTCGGTGTTTGTGTTGCAGACTCGTTCTGATTCCCTCAGGAGGTCCCCAAACTTCCCGCCGCTCCTCGCGTTTCAAACTTCCCTTCGTAGTTTGATCAGATTTTAGAATCAAGCCATTTACTGTATGTGTTAAAAATAGAAAGCAGAAACACTTCAGAGCGGACTAAACTTACTGAAGCCTACGCTAACAAGATGGGAGACTCAAAAAAATGAAATAAAGTAGACTCAATTTCGGCCAAAGCCCAAGAGTCACAGAGTTTGTTTCTGTTTGTGTCGGCCCCGTCCGTCTGAAAAAAGTCTGAGCAGCCACACAGGTTGGAAACGGAGGTGAAAGTTCATCACAGTTTACAGACTCACTTCAACTAATAGTGTTAACACAGTTTTCCTGTGCTATATGGTGTCAACATGTCAGGTGCACTCACTCAGTTTTACCTGCAACTACAACTTCCTGATTCAGTCATACTTTTACTGTGTGTTCAGACAGAGTGTGAGGATAATTTGACCGTCCACATGGCTGCACACAAATGCTGCATTTCCACTGAATGGTTCAGTCCGACTCTACTCGACTCAACTCGCATTTCAACCTAGTCTCACTCTGAAGTCGTCGAAATCCACAGCTTGTTCAGCAAATTCCAGTGTCAGACACCAACAAAAAAAGCCGTCCTTTCACCTTGGCATGATACACAGCTGGTCACTGTTATAGTTTAACGGCATAAGGGGAAAACATGTTGGGACAAGAACAAAAGTTAAGGCGGCAAAAGTCTGAGTGGGGCAGTTGGCAAGGGTGGTGGATGGGTCCAACAACAACCGACGTTCACCCAGGATGGCAGTGTTCGCTTTGCGTAGGATTGTGAAGTCAAACCCTGTTCTTTTTTCCTAAACCCAACCACATGTGTTGGTAAAACGTGCGTTTCTTGTTGAAGCCAAAAAAAGTCAATTTGCAGTGTTGTACTAATGTAGTGCTTTTATTTTGAAAGAGACTGTATGCAAACTGTACTTTTCTGTGAAAACGGACGTGTATTTTGAAAACAGACAATGCATGTGACAGGCTGAAGTTGACACAGTGGCCCAGATGGCCCTGGCCCCCCTGTAGGTCCGCGGCCACATTGCAAAAACTGCTCTGGAATGTGCTGTGGAACGTGACAAAGAGCTCAAGGCGTCAGCTTGGCCTCCAAATTAGCGAGATTCCAATCTGATCCAGCATCTGTGGAATGCGCCAGTACCATACCTCACAACCCACAGGACTCAAAGGATCTGCTGCCAATGCCCCATTGACAAACCCCACAGCCGTCCTGTGTCCATGCCTCGACAGGTCAGAGCCAAGTCCAATCCAAGGAGGACCCACCGTGGATCAGGGGTACCTCTGCAGTACCAGCATGTCCCCCAGATGTTTGATCAGATTAGGATCTGGGGAATTTGGATGCCAGGTTGACACCTTGAGCTCTTTGTCCCATTCCTCTGGTCATTCCTAGAGACACTTTTGTGGTGTGGCATGGTGCATTGTCCTGTTGGGGGGGCACTGCCATCAGGGATTGAGGGAGGTACTTGGTCTGCAGCTATGTTTGAGTGGGTGGAGCCTGTCACATGAATGTCAGGAGGACCAAAGGTTTCCCAGGAAAAACACTGCACTGTAACATGATGATCAGTGTTATTCACTTCATCTGTCACCTGTGAGAATTTAACGTGAAGACACGTTCATGTGTTGGGCAAACGTTCACACTTATCTCAGGTTTTATGATTCTGCTTCATAAACATACAGAGAGGACTAGTGAGAGAGTGCCTGCTCTGCTTTATATTTTTATTGTATGAACAGTTCTGCCTCAATCTGTTGCTGTTTTTATTTTTTGTTTGTCTAGTGTGCCGTTGTTGTTGGAAGTGTCTAGATTTAGTGCTTATTCCCTTCAGACTGATCCCTGCGTGGCTCAGGAAGACGCTGAACACGGGATTAAGAAACGCTAAGATAGCAAACTGCTGATGATTCCCTCCCAAACGTAGACGCTTTATCCCCAGTTTGTGTCTCGTCAGGGACTCCCCGTGGTAATTAACAAACACCCCTCGACCCCAAACCACCGGGGGGGGGGGACCAGTCATCTTAGCTCAGACCTAACAGGCAGGTAGGTGGGAGATTAACTGAAACATAAGAGCTGATCCCTGCTGAGTCAGCACTGTGAGAGGAACACACAGAGATCTGGAACATTAAGCATATTTTTCAATCTTTATCATTTATGCACAAGAAATTCATCTTCTTCTCTGCACATAAAGCCTCTAATGAAACAACCTGCGCTGCTCTGACTGGTCTGAGACGAGGCAATAATATGTCACATGTTGTTTTGTACATTACAGCAGTCCATCTTGTTTTAGACGCCTGAAGAGGTCTGAATTACACAGATTCTTTTTAATTATACTTTCTTTAGCAGACAAACATAACCACCACCATGTTCTTCTAATTGTTCTTGTATTGTTTTAACCCTTTGGAACCTGGAGCAACATCACTTTTCTTGTGCTTCTTTCAGACACCTCTCGCAAGTATTAAATGTCATTTGGTGCATTTAGTTGCAATAGATTTTTGAGTGTTTTTTGGGGGTCATCGAAAGGGGAAAATTTATACGTAAATTTGCGCCTCTTAATAATTGTGACAAGGTGTCAAAATCTCTGTATTTGAAGTTAAATTGAGTCCACTGCATGCTGTCCGCTTACTGAACGTGTCCTGCTTCACATGGACACACATTTTAACAAACAACAGCAAAGAGCAGCTGCATTTACTGCTCACAATCCAAGCATAAGAAAATAGGGATGTACGATACTGGATCTTTTACAGATATGC